TTATCTGACTGTGTTAACTATTTCCACCACTAAATGGAAAAAGTAGGAATTTATGATTATCTAGAGACTATTAATAACAGGAGGTGAAATGCAGCTCCAGACGAGCCGAGCTTGTGGTGACGTCATGAGTACTTTTCGGTTCCAATTGACCCATATTTATGCTGCGTGCTCCCATTCTCCCAAGGACACAAGTCCATACTCGCATTCTTGTGAATTGAGAAACTGCATTAGTTTTTGTCTTTGTATGTTTTAAATTGATCTGATTGTTTCTATTTAAGTGCTTCATAAATAAAAATGGTATAATTTGAGATCGTAAAATTCTATTTGAACTTACATTGGGATGTGCTTTGGTTACATGGGACTAAAATTGATGTTTTAGGCTTAAATAGGGTGAATATGAATGAAAATGTAAACAGGATGTGATGGGTTCCCGATCGCTTTCAGATCAGTCTAAAAGCTTCTAACAGAAAGCCAAGAACGGATCTTCTTTTACTGTTCAGTGGAGCACTAATACGAAACATGTGGCCAGTTCAACTCAGAAAAGATCAATATCAAACCAAAATAAAATCAATATCAATCGCCATCTATGGTGATCTCAGACCCCAGAACTAAACCCTATAGACAACCTGTGAGCTCAGCTAAAGAAAGAATCTGCAGGGCTCTGGATGATCTAGGGACATAAAACTCCAATCCTCAAGCTCCTTCGTCCAGCAACTTTGTTTTTTTTTTGTTTTTTTTTTATGAGAAATGCCTGTTCTAAACACCTGAATCAACTGAAACGCTTCTGCAACACATCACTGAGTTCTGCAAGGCGTCTGGTAAAGAGCCAGTCATTTGATTTGGGTTTATTAAAGAGGGAAAGGTTGGAAAACACCACAAAAACTTTAAATCTTTTTTGAGCAGTGGAACAAGACAATTTATAAAATAAAATAAGAAAAAAAAAAACTACTGTAGTCTTTTATTCAAAGTGCATAAATATCTAATTATCGTATTTTAAGGGCAAAAATACTCATTCTAGTGGCAGATCAACTTATTTACCTGCTCAAATTAAGGGTAAATACACTTAATTTAAGAAATCTTTACTTATTTCTTAATAGGTATTGTAGTAAACATGGCTCTTACTGTAAGGAGCAAAGTTGGAGTTTAATGATATAGAGCAGGAGTTTTCAGCCTTTGACCCCAAAAATAACTGGAAACCTACACATATAAACAATTACTTTGATCTATATTTATTTAAACATATAAAGTGAAGTAAATAAATAACATTTCATTATTTAACAACAGTTTAAATATACTTTCAATAACATTATGGAACATATGATTATTTAAAGGAAAAGTCGGGTCACATTCAGAATATAAACTTCTGAAAGTACTTTAAGTTTGAAATTATTACATACGTTCAATAAATGATAAGTGTTTTTAAAGAAGAGTAATTTTCATTTGAATGTGCTTTATTGGAGGCATCCATGTCTGTCAAAGAACTCTACTGCCACCTACAGGTTTGTGACGTCACAGTGCGGTATCGGCTGTTGATCAAGTCCCAGTGCTGTATCTGGTGTTTGTCACAACGTGCTGTTATCCAAGTCATCTTGAAAACATTCTTCTTCCAAATGTTGGCTACATATTACGTGTTTCTTCTTTGGCCAGAAGTTTGATGGTAAATGTCACACTTACCTCCTCAACTCAAGAAAAATGTTTCTTATTTTAAGAAAGATTGACTTCTTTAGACTTAATTTTTTGCAGTGTAGTCAAGTGGGAATGCTTATGCATTCCCACTTATTGTGGTTCACTTTTGATTTTTCTGACTAACTAGTCCCGCAGTTTTCAACCGATTTCAACAATTTTGGTATCAAAACGTTCAGCTTGTTCAGGAGAATTGTGCTATGTCTTTTGGTAAAGATATTTTTTGTAGTTTTCGCGATATTCAGCTTTTTCTGCTTTTTTTTTTTTCCATTGAAATGCATTTAGAATTCTTAGATTTCAGCAAAATTCAGCTAAAACTTAATCATCTTTGACCTTTAACTGCTTCAACATACGTTTAGCTAGAAACACCATTCAACTTTTAAAATGTTTCCGTATCTTTCTGCTATTACTGTTTAACTCGGCTTTTTGCTAACTTTTACAGTTTTGCTTCAGTGAAGCTTCAAACTTTAAAAGAAAATTTAAAGATTTTCAGATTTATAATTGAAGTCTATGGACGGAATTCTTCAACTGCTAGAGTGCGTGCTCTAGCTTTTGAGCTGTTCTGGTTTTTCCGAACAAATTGTTCTCACTCCCTTATTTTTCACTCAATTGAAATAAATTATACATCAAAACGTAGGGATTTTTGTCAGGATTCAGGAAATGTAACCCACATTTGTGTGGCGTTTACAGTTTTCCGACAGTTTGGCCCAGACCGCGAAGAAGTCCACACTTCCCCAATAGAAATCCCAGAGAGACTTTCAAAAAATCACAGACAAAAGCCAAAACAATACATATTTTCGTATCGCACCCATTTCTAAACTATTTGATGTACAAACATGAAACTTGGTATAGAACATCTTCAGACCCTTGTAGCACTCACATTGAAGGAATTTCTTCAATATCATTTATGGTTTAGCTGTTTAGCTGACTTGTTTGGGCATAGGAAAACGTTGATTCAGCGAAAAATCGTCATACTCAGAAAAAACACATTTTTACATCGTCACCGTGGCCAAATAGTTTTTAGTAGAAAAATGAAAGTTGGCACAGTTGAAGAAGAAGGATGGCTGACGCTAACAGTGAAATAATTTTTTACGGTTTTGGCTCACCACTCGTTTGTTCGGAGGAAAAGTTTTGCTTTTAACAGCTGAGCTCTACCATGGAACTCCATGTTATTTAATGAGACCAGCAGGATTTACAAACCTTTATATTTCTCCTTCCCATTAAGGCTGTGAATGAGCTACAGCCATGAAAGTTACCCCAATTGGAGACAAAGGATAGCTGTCGCTTAGACTGAAAGAATTTTTTAGATACCATTTACGGTTTGTCTTCAGCACTCGTTTGTTCTGAGCTGATATTCCCATTCAAAAAAGTTTGAGAGGAAAGAAACGAAAGTGAAGCGCATGTCTCTCTTTCACTGACAGGCTCGTTAAGCGTTGTCAAGGTAGCCGAGCTTCAAAGGGATTTTACCTCTGCTACTTTAAACAGCACATTTTAATCTAATGGAGGGAGACAACACTGATTTAACATTTGGAAATGGATACAATATGACTACTGGCCATGACCCTTCCCTTTACACCCAACCCTGATAGACTTTCAAAATAAGACTCCGGGGACCCTTCAAAATAAAAGCCCCTACATTAAACTTATATTTTTTTCCCAGCATATGGCTAAACATTATGACCCAAACTCAACCACTTTTTTAAAAATGAGACTCTAGGGGGTTTTCTAAACACACCCCACAGAAAATTACAAAATAAAAGCCTCCCATTGCCACTTTATCTACTGCCCTAATAACAAGGGAAAAGAGTGATTTAACAATTGGAGAGTCATCAAGTATCACTGCTGGGTCTGACCCTTTTCTCAACACACAACCCTGCTAGACTTTCAAAATAAGACTCCAGTGACCCTACACAATAAAAGCCTCTATATTATACTCGCGTATTAATTGATGCAAATGGCTCAGCATTATGACCCAAACTCTACCAGCTTGTTTCTATTAGACTTTAGGCACCTTTTCAAAACATACCGCAGAGCAAATTTCACAATAAAAGTCTCCCATTTACGCTCTAATACAGCATCTATTCACCCAATAACATGGAAAACCAGTGATTTCATATTTAGAAATGGATTCTATATAACTGCTGGGCATGACCCTTCCCTTGACACACATCCATGTTAGACTTTCAAAATAAGACTAAAGGGACTCTAAAAAATAAAAGCCTCTTCCTTACACACACTCATCCATTGTGCCGTATGGCTCGTAGCTATGACCCAAACTCAACCAATTTCTTCAAATTACACTACCAAGGCCTGTTGACCACACACCTCAGTGCATATTTCTTAATCAGGTTCTAAGATTTACACTAATAAAGCATCTGCTAACCTCATAACATGCAGCCTAAGCCTGCGAACGGTGCTTTCATCAACACAGCGGCTCGTAATATGCAGGTTAAATTTCTTGATAAATTCAGCTCCTTAAGTAGTATTAGCTCTCTTTCTATAAGCTTCTCTCTCTGTCCTTCCTCTGCTTGTCATGGTCGGTCTTGCACATAGGTTTGTAGATTTTCAATCCTCTAAGGATGACACTGTTTTCTTTATGCTGATCAACCAACACATTTTAAATCATTTCAAATTGTTTTGCCAAGTCTTGACATTTCCACAATTTCTAAATTTTGATACTTATTCAATACCATCTTCCTCAACATTTTACTTCCCATCCTTGAGCTACTCATTTTTTCTTCAACCAAATAAGATTCAAGTTTTTCTTTGTAATTTATTTTCTGATTCAGCTAATTTAATACTTTTCAGCCTATGCTGAGAAATTGGTTTCATTCTGCTCTCTTTCTGGATAGGAATTAAGCTTTTCTGGTTGCTGCTATTCATAACACACCTGACATGTTTCTGGGCAGTAGGTGGCCCCCCTTCAAAATTTCTTTAGAAATGTTTCTAGAAACTTGGGAGACATTATATTAAGACCCTTCTAGTGCCCACATTCAAGACATTTTTTGATATTATGTATGGTTTGGCTGTGCAGCTTTTAAGATGAGTTTGTTTCTGCCATTTTACTGCCAAATGATACTACCCTACAAAATCTTCAGATGATTCACTTGTTTTCTGCAGTTTGAAGTTTCTGATGACTTCCTATCACATTTTCATATGTTATGCAGTTAATTTCCGCTTTTTTCATTCAGCAAAAAAAGCATTCCCACTTTGCTGTTTCTCCAAAACAGCTTTTTCTAGTTTTCTTTAACATGGAAGACGGTCAGAGAGAAGGAATGGATTGAAAATGATCAAAATGATACAAAAGTGTGCTTTACCTTAAAGGTATACTTGACGTTGTACCCTGATTGCCGGATGCGGACCGTCTCCAGCATGCCTGTGTACCGCAGCTGTCTCAACACCAATTTATCGTCAAACCGTAAGGGCAGCTGAGAGAGAAAGGAGGGGAAACAGTTTAAAGTGGGATTAAGGAGAGTTAGACAATATTTGAATAAAAGAGGCCGCAGCACGGGGAGCCAACACTTTACCTTGTCTGCATTAGAACGGATGCACTTGACAAAATAAGGCTCAGACTGACCCAGAGTCTCCATGAGCTTATTAAGAGAAGCCTGCAGGATGAAACACAGGGGAAAAAACAAAAAAACAGGCCATCAAACCCACCAGATCAAAACACGCTGAGACACTTCACAGCTGCTTAACAGGCAACACTCTGTCCCCATCTGTGAGAAACAGCGAAACATTAAAGTCCCTCTGAGTCGCATCAGTGTCACCATCTATACATTGGAAGAAAACAGGATGCAGCCTTTTTTCATCTGCAGTTACTGTGTGATTAAACACATGAACATATGTGTGTATAATCATTTAGAGGCAGGATGAATTTAGTCTTCATCCCCCTGCATGGGAGATTAGAGCAATGAGCACTGCACAGGATGTGGAGAGTGAAGTCATCCACACATGGACCCAGGCTGCCTCTCAGGGGCCTCGGCTGCACCTCAGACAGCTACAGCACTGTGCTCACTTTAATAGATGATCAGGGGAGTAAAATCTTAGCTTTATTGCCTGCTGATGAGTTTATTTTCCACGACAAAGGTCTGTTTACTGAGACGTACACGATGTGTGAAATTGATGGCCTTTCTTAAAACTAACTGGAGGAAGAACTTGAACTGATCCTAACTCACTGCAGCTGTTTTCAGGACACATTTTAGGACACATTATACAAAAGTTGCATCTGGTACATCTTCGCTTGCTCAAAAATGAAGCGGCTGATTTGAATCAAACATTAACTTCAAAGGAAGTCGATCAAAAGATTTTGTTTGACGATGTGTTTGATCGTAAATGATTTAAGGAGGTTCGGATGTGTTCAAGGATCAGGAAAGACATTAAAATATGCAGCATCTGATCTTTAGATCAGCAATCAGAGCCAGAAGATTGCAAATTCATATCCCAAACTCAAGAGGGGGATTTACCGTTAGGCAATACTAGGCAGTTGCCTAGGGCCCCAAGTTCCTGGGGGCCCCATAAAACTCTGTTTACATGTATGGTTAGAACGCTTATAATAGTGTGTCTGAAAAGTCAGCCGAGTACAAAACATAGAGAGGAAAACAACAAGAAAAGGGTCAAGAAGAGAGGGACAAAAGCTAGAACAAATAATGTATGTCTATTCTATTAAAATGTATAAGGGGTCTGTTTTATGTGTTGTCTTCTCAATTCAGAGGGCCCCCTGCCTGTCCTAAATCCGTCCCTGCCCAGACTAAATGATATGTGCTTCTCTATTTTTTTTAGCATTGTGCTGATTGATTTATAATCTGTCATCTTTAAAGAAGTTGAAACATTTTTGCAGAAAAACTAGATCTCATCATAAAACGTGAACGAGTTCATTCTGACGTCATATATTAAACCACAAATATGAACTCAGGTTCAGTCTTAGATTTGTTAAACTAAACTTAAATCTTTAGCAGTTCATATAGTCAACAGTGATTGTTTAACTGATCAAGACAGCAGAGATGAAAGGACAAAATGTTTTTTTCTTCTATTCTGTTTGGATTCAATTTTTAAAGCAACACTTTGCAACTTATATCCACTGGGGGCGCTAGACCTGTTACTCCCAGGTTACTCTGCTGAGAGCAAAATGTAACACTGCATTGTTGGAAATGAAGCAGTTTAAGTCATGAAAGAAACAACCACTCCTCCATATTAAATCCTACATCAGAGATCCAAAACGTTACCTGATCAGGTAAGCATATCTGTTTTTTGACTTAAAAAATGTTAAGGTTAAGCTAGCATATTTAGTCGATATCAGTAAAGCTGCATTTTTAGTCACATTGCGCCATTGGAAACCGATGTGACTCTTTCAGGTGAGCTTCGAGAAGGGAAGCTTAGATGGAGCATTAGAAGCTCAAAAAATATATGAAAATAAATAAATAAATAATAATAATTTAACTTTATTGATCTCATACTGGAGAAATTCACTCTCTGCACTTAACCCATCCCCCTTGGGGAGCAGTGGGCTGCTATTGTTCGGCACCCGGGGAGCAATTGGGGGTTAGGAGTCTTTTTCTCAGGGACCCAAAGTGGAGGCTGCAGGAATTAAACCGGGTACTTGCAAGCTTCTCAGAGCACAAGTGCACTGCTCTAACCCACTAGGCACGCCCCTTAATTTGCAAATAAAATTTACAACAACAAAATATATAATAAATTTACAAATAATTTACTATATAACAAATTGAGCTAATACTTACATAGTGACACTTTAAGGAGAAATTTCTAAGGGTGTGTCAGTGAATGAGTAATTGCTTTCTTTCTTTCACAAAAATCAAGAACCTTATTTTAACCAGACATGATGTCACCATTATGTCTTCTGGGTGGAAATGATTACAGTACAAAAACTCACAGATGTAAAAGCTGCAAAGAGAGTTTCTCCCCCCATCAGTAAGACTAAGCAATGCCTTGAGACTAATAGAACTTTTTATATGTATAAATATAAAGTAGAGTTGAAGGCAAACTTTTTCTGCATATAAACTGATAGATGTAATGAATGCACGCTGATTCATAAAGCGGTGAGTGTGTTCCTCTGACCTGAAATTGTGCGCTGATACTGGGAGGTTTCTTCTTCTTGTGAAGGTGAAGCAGAGATTTGGTGATTCGGTCATGAAGCGTCAGGTTGCTTAGGTACTTAAGTGATTTGACATTCAGTAAGTGCTGCAGATGTAAAGTCACAGTTAGTACATGACATCTAATATCTCCATCCAGACTCTTCATTCAAGCACCTTTAGTCCTACCTTTGGAAGAACTGGTTTCAACTTGTAGTTTTTGTTTCTCCTGTTTATAAAACAAAAGAAATTATTAACATTTTTGAAACCATAAGAGCCATTAAATCACTTCACGAGATTCTTTCTGAGAAGGTCATTTTCCTGACAAAAGGACCTGAACTTCCATTTTCCTGCTGGAGAGCAAATACTGCTTTGTAGGGTAAGGAAAAGAACAGGGCCAGCTGAGCTGGTCAGGCTGTTTGGATCACTAGAGGAGCCTACTTGTACACATAGCTGGACATCATTGGATTTCTTTAAACCAAATAAAGTTCAATTGGAATCAAAAATTAATCCTCCAGAGTTTGTCTTTAACAAGTCAGACTTCAATGTATTCTACAGTTACCTAGCTTTGATAATCTACTGGGCAGAAAAATAAATAAAGAAATGTGTCTCAGTGAGGTACGGGCTAAAATCTTTAAGAAGTTACTGACATCAGGATGTCATGAGCTCGCTCCAGGAGTCTGCTGCTGGCTGAGTTGACAAAGATGCCGTCTTCTTCTGTGTTGGAGCCGCTTGAAGGCAGCCGACTCCGCCGACCGACACGCCCGTTCCAGCCAAGGCCAGGAGAACTCCTTCACAACACAAGGAGTCAAGAGCAACCATTAGATTTGACTAAAGCTTTCCCACTACTACTACTAAGGTATTATTTTCCTCATGAACACAGAAAATAACTACAGCCTATTCAGAAATTATTAAATACATCTGATCTTTTTTATCTACAGAAACTTTGTTCTGATTATGATCTTTCTGGGTTTAATTATCTGGAATCTGTTTCCATGTGTAACAAAGACATTTTTGCAAAATATCTCAAAGCCATTCTCAATAGAACCACTTTTATAAAGGATTTCGAAAAAGAATGCAGACATGTCATAAATTACACACTAAAAAACTAATGCAAAATCAATATTTACTTAATAGCTGGCTATCCAGACACACAGAAATATAGACAAATAAAATATTTCTCCATATTTATTTTTCCCAGGTTATTAATAAAGTAAAAAAAAACTTTAAATTCCACAAAGTTCTAGTCTGCAGAAAAACCGTGAACCCTGTTATTTTGCATAATAAGGAAATCCCACCGTTTTCAAATACTTTCAAAGCTACACTGCAAAAACGATCTAGAAATAAGTAAAAATTTCTTAAATTAAGTGTATTCACCCTTAATTTGAGTAGGTAAATGAGATAGTTTGCCAATGGAATCAGTAGTTTTAGTCTTAAAATAAGATAATTAAATAATATGCACTTTAAATAAGACAATGGAATTGTGTTTTTCTTATTTTAAGTGTAAATTGTCTTGTTCCATTGGCAAAATGTCTCTTTTACCTCCTCAATTCAAGAAGAAATGCACTTACTTTAAGAAAAAAATGACTTATCTAGATTTAGATTTTTTGCAGTGTAATGCTAATGATTGCTGGTGATGAAGGAAAACAAGTAAGTAAAAATTAAATGTTTCTTTAACAGACTTATTTTAGCTTATGCATGAATGAATGAACTACAAATTTTTCATATAAACCATAAATTGAAATGGTTTTAAACTGTTTGCTTCATTTCAGCCGTAACCATTTTCAGTACCAACTTGGATGCAACAGACTGTGCTAAAGTAAAGTCCTGTTCTTTTGCCATTTTATTTCTGTGGTCTGAACCCACCATGACCAGTTGTTTGTATAGATTTGATACACAATATTACAATGCATCCTATATTTGTATTAATTAATCTTATCGATTTAAGAAGGGACAGTTCAATCGAATTCTTTCAGGCTGATCCTAAAAGGACAAATCAGAGCAGTATTATTTGCCATCAGATCACACAGAAATACACTAAAGGGTTTAAAGCCTCACATCTGGAGGTAAAACGTAATCACTTAGCTAGAACAGAAACAAAACCAAAGGAGTTTTAACAAACCAGTATTAAATAGCTAAAAAGGAACTCAAATGCAACATCCAACAGCTAATAAAAAAAAAGGCTGTTTCTTACGATTGGGAGTAAAGAGAAAATAGAGGCTGCAGCAAAGGCGGAATTTATTAAAATCTAGTGCAGCTGAGCAGTTTGTTTAGTTTCCATTTCCCTCCTTTGTAGATTTACGAGAAATCCACCGGAGGAGTTAGAATACAAGCCACACAATGAATAACGCACAACCAGCAGCAGCAACATGTGGAAAGTTGTTCTGTGGTATAAAAAAAAAACCCACAAAAAAATATTCTATATAAATTAGAAAGCCAAGCAGCTTTTTTTATCTTCAGATTAAAAACGAGCTGAAAGTATTTCACCTACTGCCTGTTCCATCTTTTAAATAGAGATATTTCAACAAAGCTTTTCTGCATCCGTAGGTCAACACACCTCTCTGCAGCTTCTCTACTCTACTGTTACCCACTCATTACTCCATCCAGACAGTGTGTTGCCTATGACCAAAATCTAATAAATTGGAAAATAATCCCAAAGGAGTAAATCCTGATAATCTAATTAAAATAAAAAGAACTCCAATTGGGGGAAAAGTTAAAACCATTAACTGTGGTTTATTTAAAATAAGATCTCTTTCTTCAAAAAGTTTGCTAGTTAATGACTAGATTTGATATAATCACATTGATTTATGTTGCCTTACAGAAACTTGGCTGCAGCAAGAGGATTATGTGAGTATAAATGAGTCAACTCCCTCTACTTATTTAGATTTTCTCATACCCAGATGTTCTGGGCGAGGAGGAGGAGTAGCAGCTTTCAGTCTGACTTACTGATTACTGCAAAGTTAATAATTACAACTCTTTTAAACATTTGACCCTTAGTTTCCCTCATCCAAATTGCAAAGCCACAAACCCTCTTCTTTTTGTAACGTATCATCCACCAGGTCCTTACTTTTATTTTTTAGATGAGTTTTCAGAGTTCCTTTCTGATTTGGTGTTGAATCCTGACAGAGTTATAGTAGGGGAATTTTAACATCCATGCAGACATTAAAGGGTATAGCTTAAGTGCATACTTTAATGCTATCTAACATGCTATTGGTTTGTTCAAAATGTGAATAGTCCCACACATTCTCATCTTTATACTTTGGACCTTGTGCTGTCATATGGCATTGAATTTGAAGAAATAACACTATTTCCTATTACTGGTAACCCTGTCCTCTCTGACCACTTTTTAATAACCTTCAGGATTACTTTAACAGATTTCTGCTCTCCAGAAAGAAGGTTCACTTTAGCAGATCATTATCAAATATAGCAGTTATAAATTTAAAATAATCAGTTTCACTTTTCTCTCCTCTGGGTCACTGAGCAGTGCTGCAGAGGGCACAATTTAGTTTCTTCCCCTTCAAAGGATCAATGATTTTGTTGATGGGGTTGCTAGCTATCTGCGTACTACCTTAGACAATGCAGCACCTTTGAAAAAGAAAGACTTTAAAAATAGAAAGCTGGTTCCCTGGCTTAATGCAGAGCTGTGCACTCTGAAGCAAAATGCTAGGAAACTGGAGAGAAAATGGCAATCTGCATACCTCTGGGACTACCTAGTCTGAAAAAATAGTTTACTGATGTATAAGAGGACCCTTTGTAAGACAAGAGCAGCATATTTCTCCTCATTAATAGAGATGAATAAGAATAATCCTAGATATCTTTTTAATACAGTTGCCAAACTCACCCAGAGCCATAGCTTAGTTGAACCGTCCATTCCACCTACTCTTAGCAGTAATGATTTTATGGGATTCTTTATAAATAAGATTGACCTTATTAAAAAATAAGATCATTAGCACTCCTCTATCTACGATTGATTTGTCTCTGGAAGGTGAGGCAGCATCTGAGGTAGTCATGGAATCTGAACCAGGTCTAGACTGCTTTGATCCAGTTGAACTTTCAGAGTTAGCAAAACTATCATACTACTTCATCTAAGCCTTCAACTTGTATGTTAGATCCAGTTCCAACCAGGTTAAGGAAGTATTCGCTTTGATCTCATCTCCATTTTAGATGTGATTAATCTACCCTATTACACGGATATGTACCAAAGACTTTTAAGGTAGCTGTATTTAATCCTTTACTTAAGAAACAGTCTGTTGACCCAGATGACTTGGTCAATTAAAGACCTATATCCAATCTTCTTTTCTTATCTAAAATTCTTGAGAAAGAAGTTGCCAAACAAGTGTATATATATATATATAAACAAAAAATCTATTTATTATCTCACCCTTAGTGGGGTGGTATGCGTCATACTCAAGAAGAGGAGGTATTTTGCCTTGTTGCAGGTTCTTCCCTGTCTGTCTTAATGGGCCACAACTGAAAAGCTTAACATCCCAGAAAACAGCAGCTGATGATAGAGGGCCTGTTGATCATCTGGAGGACAGCTGTTGCCCCTCTGCTTTGAAAGGTGTCAGCCAAGGTGTACCTTACAAAGACAGTATTGCAGGTCTAAAAACTCAACCCTCATTTCTGCCATACCCTCTACCCCAGGGTTCTCCAATCCCTGTCCATAGGAGCCACTGATCTACAACATGTGGGTGCATCCTTGCTTGCACACCTGAATTAAAAGAACAGCTTAATCCATATCCACAGACATAAATAACCAGTACAACATCATAACTATACATTATTTCTTCCTGGGATGAAGCGCTCTTTATGCTGCTTTTATATGGTTCTTTCTCAGGAGAGCATTTAAGTGATGAATTTTTTGCTGAGCAGGCAGGTTTGCAGAACAATAACTAGAATTACAGCCTGACATGTACCCCCAGTAAGTAACAGTAAATAAAAACCTTCAGATTTTTTTTTATGCATATTGTCCATGCCCAAATCAGATCTAGACCTCTAGAAACTAAGATATGTGGTTAAAAACTCTCCTGTTTTCTCCACCATACAAAGAGAAATTTTTCCCCAGTTGATCATCGCTCCTGATAAACGGTGACACCACACTATGCCTTTTGTGATAACTGTTTATCTCTGTGAGAGTCGCATAAAGCACTGCACTGTCTGCAGTTGTGTCCAGCTGACACACACTCAGCAGGGAACTGGATATTTATCTCTCCCTGCTGGATGATCTTCTGCCATGCATAGCTCTGACTTTACATCATGAAGGAAGCAGCTGCAGAGGGTTTAGTTCTCTCCGACTGTGTAGCTATGAGTGTGCGGAGTGGGAGAGAGGAGGAGGGCAGAGGTCAGTCGGTGGCATTTTAGTGGTTTCACTATGTCCCATCGGAGGGGTGCCGCTTTGCAAGGCATTGTCACTGCTAGTTAACCACACCGTCAATGATAATTAGAGGAAGTGCTGGGCTATGGTTAGTGGAGCATAAAGAGAACATCAGTCAGAGTATTTCTAGTGCTGGGCGGTGCATGTTTCAGAAAGGTGCAGATCATAGAAGCTGCCAGAGCAGCAACACACTAACACACTAAGAACCTGTTTAGATCATTAAATAGAATTAAACAGGAAAAACCATAACATGACATGAGACAAGCTCTTTATGCCTCATTAATTAGCTACTGAGTGCAGCCACGCAAGCTTTAACAACAAAAGTCACATTTACATTAAATTAAACATGAAAGGTAGTTTTTAATATTTCAATGTTAATATTATTATTAAATAAAAAGGAGAAAAGCAACTTGGAAAACGTTGCTCTGATTGTTGTAGCCATCTTGCTGTCTTCCTCTCATGTTTTAAAACCCTCTTTTTCTGTTGTCTGAAAACTTTTCCTGATATAAAACAACTCTTCTTAAATAAAATGTTTTTATTGAAAATGTTTGCAGTGTTTTTTTTTATTTTTTTGCTGTTTTTTTTTTAAACCAGCAGTTTTGATTATATTGTATCTTATCAACTGTAATAATTAGCACAATTAGTTTGTGGCAGGTTATATTATTCCCTTACTGCCTAAACATAATCTATTATGAAAATGCGTTACTTTTAGATGAAACTGTATTATTCTTTGGGAAATTAATGGAGACAGCTGATAAAAGAAATGTATATATATAGATATCTATCTATCTATCTATCTATCTATCTATCTATCTATCTATATATATATATATATATATATATATATATATATGTATTGATGAACTTCTATAAAACCTGAGTTAAACTGTTTAAAAATAGGTGTTTATGGCGATCTAATCCTGTCCTTAAAATGTCCCTTTAATTTAAAATTCAAGTCAGTTTTATGGGCAAAGCCATTAAGTTCATCTTTAATGTTTAAGATTGTGACGCTGTTTGATTGTGTGTATTTAGTATCAGGTTTTATTTGCTGTTTGTTGTTTTTTTATAGTGTTCAGGTCACTGCGGGTCACTCCTAAAAAGGACCTTTTTAACTGATTTTTCAGGATTAATTTCATGATTCATGTATGTGCTTGTTAAACCCTGATAATACCTGCCTGTTAGATGTTAAGGCTCATGTTTTCCCAAGCAGTTTATCCAGTTAGAACAAGATTGGGAAATAAAAGGGGAGTAATGCATTCGGGCTGTCCTTGATCTAAAAAGACAGTGTATAATCTTGATATGGCTGGAGCCAGTGAATTCTCATTTACAAACATGTGTATGATGTGATGATGTGGCAGGGTGGGACCCTGGAGATGGATAAAATGCTTCTTTGGAACATTATTCACTGCTGACTCTGACAAATTGAACCGGATGCTCCAACCTCCCTGGTCTGAGTAAGATTACCTTTCTGTAAGGGCTGTTATGTTTTCTATTCATTTCATACTAGAAACCCTATAAAGTGTTATCTGAAGTGTTTGTTCAAAGTGATCCCTTCTCAGGAAAGAACCGGGTAGAGGAAAATTAAAGATGTAAACACAGCTTTCCTTTTACAAAATAAGTTATTTTCCTGGTTAAATAAAAAATTTAAACATGCATAATTTATGGTGCTCTCTGGCAGAAGACTAAAGCCTCCTTGAAAGATATCTAAAAAAAAAACCCCAACAATCTATCCATTTAATTGCTAGCTTTGAAAAAGTAAATTCTGTTTTCAAGGAAGACCACATTTTTAACAAGCTACATTTAAAAGCCACCAATATTTCCACCATTCCGTTCCCGTGGTTAACACTCCTTTAATAAAACACCAGAGGCATTCTGGGAATCACTCCTGTTACCTGACACCTATACGTCCCAGAAGATGTAAGCCAGCTGTGTATACTGACAGCATGCAGGGGTCTAGCCTGCATGGTCATTAACTTATTTGATTAGTAATCAAATTACAAACAATTTCATTACTATTACTAATAACATTGTATGATCTGGTGAACTGTAAAGTGTCTTGAGATGACATGTGTTGTGAATTGGCACTATATAAATAAACTGAATTGAATTTAATTGAAATATTGCACACTTCAAGAGAATATATAAGTTTATAAATAATGAGTATAAATACGAATGTGATTAAATGAACGGTTCCTGCATTCAAGCGTAGGCTTAAAACTTTCCTTTTTGGTAAAGCTTATAGTTAGAGTGGCTCTGGTTATCCTGAGCTATCTCTTTAGTTATGCTGCTATAGGCTTAGACTTCTGGAGGACATAGGGACCCCTATTTCATCATCTGCTTCATTCTATCTCTATTCTCCCACTCTGCAGAATCTGTTAGTTCAATCTCTAATGTTCTGCTCTCTCTGCTTTTTCTCAAAGTAGCTTTACCTCTTCTGTTCCTGTTTGGCTGTGACACCATCCTGTAGAGAAATATCAGCTGTGCTGCTGCCATCAACACCTTTGTTGGATGTCGGCCTGTTTTTCAGTGTAGTTCTGTTTCTCTGACTGTGACTGGCTGGATGTGCTCTCTTCATCCTCTGACATGGGAGCTGGCTCAGAGCTCGTCTGCCTGGCTGTGTGTTTCCTGGACGGGGCCGCCTTTTACAATTGTTTTTTGTATCTCTGCTTCTGTCTCCTTGAACCCCAGTCGGCCTCGGCAGATGGCCGCTCACACTGAGCCTGGTTCTGCTGGAGGTTTCTTCCTGTTAAAAGGAAGTTTTTCCTCTCCACTGTCACTACAAGCATGCTTAGTGTGAGGGTTTGCATTCGAGTCAATGAGTCGATGCAATCAACTGGTTTTCCTTAGATAGAAAACTTTCAACCAATCTGACTGGATGATCTGGTGCCTTGAGATGATGTGTTGTGAATTGGTGCTATAGAATTAAACTGAATTGAATTCACATTAAGCTCTGATCTAGAGAGGATTAAGTAATCTGTATTTGCTGGTATTTTGATATGTGTTGTTATAGTGGCCATACATGCATATACCTCTGCATACACACACATATGCATGTATGGGTTTTAAATTAAGAACTTGTTTAAAGATAAAGGGACAGGACTAGATAAACTATAGCTTTATCATGCTCCCTTTCAAACATCATGAGATTTGTTTACAAAATCTTTTGTTTGATGTTTCATGTTATTAATTTACTTAACTTGTTTAACTGCTCCATGTGTAAACATGTGTATAATGTTCGAAATAAAGAATAAAAAAAAATAAACAAATACAAAAATGTCTGTGTACTTACCGTGGGGATTTTTCAATGATGGTGTTGCTTCCCTGAATGTCTGATAAAGGCATCCGAGGCGTCCTTCTGGTCTCGCCTGGTCACAAACAAACCGGTATTAAAGAATGCAAAAAAAAAAAACAAACAAAAAAAATCCTGAATAAATTCATTGATTCACAGAAAGGACAAAACAAGACAGTCACACAGCAGCAAACAAAAAACACACTTCTAACTCCATGGTGTTATTGCAGTAAGTGTTTGGTGACTTTTTATGATCCATACAACCTACCGAGGATGATTTAGTATTAAATGGAAATCTGTGGGGTTAACAGTGATTTGCTCTCGTTAGTGCTGAAATGTGAGAGATGCAGCTAAAGAGTTATTTACATTAGTCTAGACTAAACTTATTTGATTAGTTATTTTAAAGATGACCCCCATTTAAATACCCAATATAAGTGAAAATCTAAGTGCGGTGGCAGAGTGAAAGGGCTGTGGTGATTAACTATCATTTCCTCTGAGGTCGTGCTGAAGAGTCACAGAGATCTACAGTGTTAGCCTACTCAGAAAGCAAACTGGGACCGAACGTTATACCATTCTCTGTTTCATCATCACTTTGCACAACAATTTCACTCTCATCTGGAGCTGCAAGGTAGCAAAGAACAAACACAAAAAAACATTTGAGTGTAATGAGAAGTTCATGATGCGTGTCCAACACCGTGTGAAAAAGCTGCCTGTGAGCGAGTTAGTCAGGAAACTGTCGGTGTCATTATTTCCCATCACCGGTACACAATTTGTTAGCGACATCTGATGTGAAGCGGAGCTGAAATGTCAGCTACACTAACAGGCTATAATGTGAGCTACACCCCCTGAGAAACGACCCACAGATTCGCTGGTGCCCCGGATTAAAGTCAGCAGGCAGAGCACTGCCACCATGCATCCATGGTTCTGCAGAAGTAGCCACATGTAACAGAAGTGACAGAATGGTTGAAGCATGCTAATGAACATCATGCAAGAAGGAAACCGAGGGATCAGAGACCAAGCATCTAGTCTACCACTGGAGCTGCAGTGAACACAATAAAAATAAATTAATAAACATCACAAAAAAACTTTCATAATGTTTGAACCTTTTCACATTTAATCACATAAAGTCGAATTCAGTTAATGGGATTTCATGTGACAGACAACAAAAGGAAAACTACTGTATAAAGTGGATTGCTTCTCATATTTTTCCACAGTTTTTAAAGAAAAATGAGTCTCTATATTTAAAGCAATGCCTCTAAAAAAGTTCCAGTACCTTCTGCAGTCTTAATGTAATGTTTTATTCCTTTCAATATAACCTCAATATAAACAGCTTCTTACTAAAGTCAGTGTCTTGAGAGAATAATGCAGAAGACCAGCATGGAGACCAAGCAACACGATATTCTGAAGAAGGTTGAAGCCCTGTTAGGATATAAAACCACATTTTCCATTTTTTAAACAGCTGATCTTAATTTAAGAAACAGCTAAGGTCTCCATGGAAACTCTGAAGGAGCTGCAGAGCTCAGGTGTGAGAATCAAATGACGGGACAATTATTTGACCGGCTCTCCATAAACCTGGTTTTGTAGGTAACAAAGTAAGAGAAAAAAGTCCAATTTATTTACTGACAAAAACCACTTATTGTAAACTCTCTATATATGGACAGTGGTTTAGTTTTGGTGAAAATGAAAAAACCTAGATTTTTAACCTGAAAGCACTGAAGTAACAGTAGCCATTACTCTGAACACACCATTCCCCAGCAAAACAAGGTGAAGGCAGCATCATGCAATGGGCAGCATCAATGCTGGTCTTTAGCAGTGTCAGAACAGTGGATCGGAATAGATAAGAAAATGCTAAATTTAGGACAAACCTTAAAGAAAAGCTGGGGCAGAGGTTCATCTAACAGTAAGGACAATAGCTCTACAAGGAAGCAGGAGCAACCATGGAACAGATTAGAACAGGGGTGGATTATTCTAGTTTATGAGGGACTCTATTAGATTTATCTTTTGGTTCAAAACCTGAATCGAGTAATTTGGTGAGTGAGAACTGATTGGATATTGAAGAGGTAATTCAGCTATTCAGGTTTGCTGGACCAAGGATGAATCAAACAGTTGCTGGATAATGGCCTTCAGGAACTGGAAATGCCTATCTGGTTTAGAGGGAATTGCATACTATGGTGGCAAAGCCCCAGTCAATGTACAGACTTTAATCAAACTGAGTTGATGATACACATCTTAAAGGTATAGTGGAGGATTATCTATTTAAGTGTGGATCATTAAAATAAGTGGTCCTCCTAATTGCCAATCATTCTGGTGATATGTTTACGTAAGGCCGTCCTACGTGCTCGTCCCCATTTTCACTTACCGGTGGCGAGTCTGTCAAATTTCAAATTTTTTTTCGGAAAGTGAGCTTGTATGAGTGATGCAGACACCATCTTTTAGAGTGCGCATGAGGAGAAATGTGCTCGTGCACGCTCTCACACACTTTTAATAGGTGTTCCCTCTCTGGAGCGGGTACAGGGTTGTGCATGTGTACTTTTTCCTTAAAGTGGAGAGGGCGGCTCTTTTCAAAAATTCGCTAAAATCCTCCTTTATACCTTTAAACTGATTTTCAAACTGCTTTGCCAAGAATATGCAGAAAAGACAGTTGATAGATCTGCAAAGGAGTGGATAGGTACTGCAGAAGCCTTGCATGTAACTTGTGCTATAGAAGCTAAATGTTGGAAAGAAATACTCACAAACACAGATTATCTGTAAGAAACTTTGAAATGATTTATCATTTTCATTCAACCACACATATTAGTACTACTTTGTGTTCTATCACATACAATCCCAATGTTTTAATTTGTATTTCCTGGATGAGACAAAATGTGACAAGGTTTCAAGCCACTGCACAGGTTATAGATTAGTAGCCACGATGTGGCTACAGTAGAGCTGATGATGCTGGTCGTTCTCATCCCAACCGTTTCCCAAAGTCATGGTCTAATATCAAAGTTAGGAAAGGTTATTGTTTTCTTGGCAGCCTTACTGTACTTCTCCTCTTTGCATCTCTGCAGGATCTCTAAGCTTCTCTGATGCACAGGGTGCTGCAGAAAGCTAAAACTATCCATTTTTTTCAGTACTGCACAGGGAGCAGCGTCATCATGCCCTTGGAGAAGCAAAACAAAAAGGAAAGAAAGGAGAGAAAGAAAAACATAAGGACAGAGTAGAGAGAAAAGGGAGAGAGGGAGAAATAAAGAGATTAGACAGTGCAGAAGTGGAGGATCACAGGAGATGCAGTTTTCTACTTGAACAAGAGAAGATGGTTGACATTTCAACACGGAACTATGAGGTTTCCCCCCTATGAGTCTCTGTGTACAGTCAGGGCCAAAGGTTTTTTGCCGTTTCAAATTTACAGCTTCAGTTTTCTCTGGTTTTAAATTATTATTTTTTTTCCATTATAAAGTTCAATCATAGTAGAACTGAGTCTCATTGTAATTTTGCACTGAAACAAAACGATCAGCTGAATCATTTTCAATGTTAACATTCAGTACCTCCCTCTGAGGAATCCAGGATTATTTTACCACCACTGCAGAGCTTGGTTGGTGCAGGCAGAAGGTGGGTGTGGCTGGATCTGCACACACACTAGCTACGTTTACATGCACAAAATTTCCCTGATCCGATCTAAACCCTGGTCGATTGGAAATTTAAAATCTCTGTTTACATGGACACTAAATAAAATTATCCAATCATGACATGTGTATAAAAGAACCAAACTATTGATCAGAATAAAATTAGTTTAGTAGCACTGCTGCGTTGCAGCAAGAAGGTTCCGGGTTCGATTCCCAGCCGGGGTCTTTCTGCATGTTCTCCCTGAGCATGTGTGGGTTCTCTCTTGGTACTCCAGCTTCCTCCCATAGTCCAAAAACATTAGGCTTCCCTAAATTCTCTTCTTCTCTTCTTAGGTGTGTGCATGAATGGTTGTTTGTCTCTGTATTGCCCTGCGATGGACTGGCGACCTGTCCTTGGTGTTCCCCGCCTCTCGCCTGTAGACAGCTGGAGATAGGCACCAGCACCCCTCGCCATCCCAGTAGGGGTAAGTGTGACTGAAAAGGGATGGATGGACTTTAGTAGTAGAAGAAGAAGCTGCCTGCTTGTCCGTACTTCTCAATTCTCAACTTTAGCTAATCTTGGCACCTGCCCCTTACATTTCTGTTTCTTCAGTTCTTCAGTCATGTCTGTTGATGTAGTTTTTTCAATTATGGACCTTCATCGCACCATACTTTTGTTTATGGTGGTCCTTTTGCTTAAGGGTCAGTGGTACCTTATGGTAACACTTCTTCACGACAGGGGTAGAAGAGGGCATGTTCATCCACACATTACATTTTGTCAGATTGCACCGAATCTTCAGCCCGACACATTTACATGAAACATTTTCCATCTGATCAGGCATTCAATACAATATCTGTGTCCATGTAAACGTAGCTAATGAAACAAAGACAACATCCTAGTGGAAACGCCTATCCAAGACAAGGATCTTGGAGAATTATTCAGCAAAATGTGCAAGAATGCAGAACAGAGCCCTTCTGCAGACATATTTTATCCGTTTTCCGAAGACTGCCGTGAATACAGTGCCATCAAGACATCATCCGGGTTTAACGTCTTCCAGCCATTCAGAACCAATTTGGAGTAACATTTTCCAGGGTGATGTAAAGTAAAGACAAAATGCACAAATAATAACAAATTACTTAAAGTTGAAAACTCTTAAATCAAACCAGATGTCAGAAATCTTGATGGATCTTAAAACTACTGAGAACCTGGAGATATTTCTCTAAAACAGAAGCCAATTAAATGTGATCAGTTCCAACCACTAACCGTTCAGGAATGTCCTCGATTGGCCAGGATTTGGCTAAAATGTCGATATGAGGAGGAAGCTGAGTGCCGTCAGTGCTGGCTCCTCTGAAAACTGATGTGTTTGCTGATTGGATGCATTTGAAGCTCCTGGCTTTAATTACAAATCAGCAACAGCAACATGCTGAATTAACCTCATTAATCCAAAGGTTTGTATCACTGGCAAAACATTTGGCCAAGACTGTAGATGCTTAACCCATAAGCCTCTTCCATGCATTAAACTCTATTTTCTTTTTCTACACATTTAGCCTCTTTAGACAAGAAGATTGCAAGTGACTACATCAGTTCATTAGAATTTAGTCAAGAATAACATTAAAACATTGCATAGATTTCTCCTTAAACATTTTATGTTAACACTGATTTATTCTGAGGTTTAGTTAAAGGATTTTTATCTATCTATTCAAACATCTACAGCGAAAATGAAGGAAAGGCTTTAGAGGGAGCAGGATGTGTGTCTGATTCACACACTGACGCTCATTTTAAAATGATCTATACTGATATTTATGGCATCAAAAGAGTCATTTTAAAAGTGAACTCTAAAGGGAGAAAAGGGCATTCAAAAGAAGAGGAAGCTGAGAGAGGCGAAGAGCAGACTTCTGTAAAATCCACGGTAAAACTCTTGGCACTATGCATAAAACAGTACAGAATAAGGACTACAGATGGGAAAACTGAATTAAAAGTCGTATTTATTATCCCGCCTGCTCTTCCAACAAGTCCTGAGCAGTAAATGTTCGTACAGTTTTACTTCTTTTAATAAGATGCTAAAAATTGACATATTTCCCATTTATCTTTCAGCTTGGCTTAGTCATTTTATCCAAATAAAAGATGCAATATATAACAGTTTTTTTCAGTTGGAATTGTATCTGGTTTAAGCAGCAGTTTGTTGCGACTAGGGTTGAGTATTGGCATGGGTGTTGCGATACGACACAAATCGCGATACTTTGGTTATCGCGATTTTTCAATATCTCAATATATTGCAATATTTTTCCCAGCTATCTAATTAAATGTATAGGGGGGGGGGAAAGCAAGTGTTGTAAATTTTCATCAGAAGAAGGTGATTGTTTAGTTATTTTGGCATCCATGATGTTTAGGGTTTGAGTCTTGACTGCTTCAACTACCGCTATGGCTCTGTGCTGCACAGCAAAATGGCTCCCCAGCGCCATCTACCAGAGTGGAGGTGCAGAGGCAGCTCATTTTCCCCTAATTGTTTTAGGTTAAAATGTTTTTTAATTCCTTGAAAGATCAATATCATATCAGGCAGCCAAAAATCATGATATATCAGCAAATATACTTTTTCCCCACACCCCTTGTTGTAACAAAATATTCTAAATATCAATTAAAAATATTTGGACATTTTTTCAAATATATGTTAATAGCTTAATACTATGAATTTCATACTAGTCTGCGCCGACTCGCCTCACAATAGTCGGGGTCCTTTTAACGTTTCTCTATATGCAGTTATTACAGTAGTGCAACATTTAACACTTTAAAGGAATTTAACCAGTTGCTATAGATGTATTTTCTTACCAGTCTTCTTGTGCGTGTGTCTCTTTCCAGCCTCTCTAAAAGCCACCAAGGCCCTGAAGTACGCTCTGAGTACCGCCCAGCGGAAAGTGGCCGACGGGTCGATGCCGATCAGGCTGCAGATAAACGCATTCTTGCTGCTTTTTAGCAGAGCTACGATGTCAGGCCGCATGTGATCCGTGTTCTTCTCCCTAAAATCCTGGGTTGGTATACGAATTATTCTATGAAACATTCTGAATTTCCTTCCATCTGGATAGAAATCATCATCTTTCACTTACAAGGAGATATCCAACTGACCTTAACGCCGTATTTGACTTTACCAGCATAGTGTCTGATGATGAAGGCGGGCTCCATGACGGCAGGGAACTCGATGTAGCTGTTTCCCTCATGCTGCCGCTTGAACTTATCCAACAGCGTCTGATTGGTGGCTTGAGGGAAGCTGCAGTTAAGAAGAGAGCACTTTAAAGAACAAAAGATCCTGCATCTGCTTTAAATGCTCGAAAAACAACAGAAAATCCGTGCACCGAAGCACTTGTTTCAAGCTGTCACATCGTGGATCCCAGATCATTAATCATAAAAAAAAAATTTTTAACAGGTTTTTGATCTCTACTCGGAGCATAAGTTGATGAAGAACAGAAAAAAGTCATAAATCTTATCTGCAACCTGTTAGAAGAGATCCCACCCCAATAAGATGACATGATGCTCCTCTTTTCCACAAGCTGAATCCCTGTTCTGAGGCCAGCCAGGATGGTTAAACTTCACTCACATGTTCTCAATTACATCTGGGCTCCATACACTGTGGGCTTCACCTTGATTGTATTTATTTTCTGAGTTTTTTAGGAGGCCATTTTCTTTTCCTTACAACATCAACGAATAACTTTAATGAATTTATGCTCAAAATTGAGCAGGAAAATATACAGCTGGGCGTACTGTATAGTTGGGAGTACTGATGTCTGCTGAGGCGCAACATTAAAACACATTTAGAGTTATCGCTGCTGCAGCAGCTATCCGCCTGCTTTTTGTTGCTTTTTTGTTGTTTTGCACATGGAAAGAAATAATTAAAGTCATAAATCTGTAAAAAAAAAAAAAAAAAAAAAAGATTGTGTAATTTCAACAAAGGTAGCAGTGACTTTAGTGATTTCAGGTCAGATTTCTTTATGTGTCATTAATAGCAACAGCCAGAGAATCTTTTAAGAAAAAAAAAGAAAAGACGAGGCGTTTACAGGAAGAAGATGAAGGAAGAACGAGACACCAGGGGATCTGGAACAGAGTGAAACCTGAGCTTCAAAAACAAGACAGCTGAAAGACTGTGTGCTTTCCGGCTTTTCCATGAGGGAAAAATCTGTATCAGTGCTTAACAGGAGAGAAAAAGAATTAAAGAAGGAAATATTGTTCCTAAATTAGCCATGGATGTCACAGAATCTTTTCCTGCTCTGAATCAACTGAAAAGAAAACAGAGCTGTGATCAAATCAGAATGCACGCCCTAACCTTTTTACAGTATTAACCTAACAGGACTATAAAAAACAGAAATATCACAGATAGATATAAGGGTTGATTTAAACTTCCAGGTTAGCTGAGGTATGAGACGAATAAATGCCCTCCTCCTTTTATCCATACCAAGCTCTGCTCTCATTTACCGAACAGTAATGTGTCATACAAGCTCAGAAATCAGCAGTAAAGAAACATTTTCTCTGGATTAATCTCAACAATAAGCCTTGATTTTAAAATAAGACCAGGAAGAGGCGAAACATTGTTGGGATGCACAAATCCTGCAGCTGCTGTGTCAGTATTTTATGTTTTACATCTGATGGGGTTTAGTGTTTAGGCATATTTTTCTAATAGCGGACAGCATAAAGACAAAGAGGCGGTTGAAGCTGGAATAACACCAGAAACCTTGCAGCCGTGTCAGAATGCCTGCCAGTTAGGTTTCAGCCAGCCAAATGCACCGGATGAACTTTTTAACAGAGGCAGAAATTGTTCCTGAAGAAATGAATGGCTAATGCTAAAATACTCACTTGCATTCTTCATCCAGCAGGTGGAACAGTGCGGTGGGCTTCTTGCTGACCAGGTTGATGCAGCCAGTATTGTCGATATAATCGATGTTCATCCAGCTGATGCCCTCTGCTCTGTACTCCTCCTGCATGAAACAAAAGGAGAAACAACCTTCAGTGATCAGTGATTTATTCATATGGTTTTGGGTGACTGTTCAGATCCTATTGGAAATATCATGCCTACTTAATTTAATGTGGAGGATGTTTCTTTTCTGGGTGGATCATCAAAATAAGTGGTCCTCCTAATTGTCAATCATTCTGGTGATATGTTTACGTAAGGCTGTCCGACGTGCCCATTTTCCCTTACCAGTGGCGAGTCTGACATAGTGGAAAAATTGCCAATCTTCTGGAAAGTAAGCTTGTATGAGTGATGCAAACAGCAACTTTTAAACAGAGTTTGTTTTAATTAACTAATTTTAATAAATTAATTAATGACTACCGTGGCATCAGCCCCCTTCTATTGCATAATCTGTTTGGATACAGAATTGCAAACATTAAAGAGAAAATACTCAAAGTTACAGAATCCTTCGAAAGATGACATCGTCATGAGCTGATAGATATAGGGTCCCAAATTCACATTTTGACTCACCGGCCAAGTGGACCGGAATGAAAGAATGAATTAATAAATTAATGCAGAATGAATGAATGAACAAATGAATTAATGAATGAATGAATAGGACTTTTATTTCAGACAATTTAACAAACAATGAATTAAACAAATACACACAAAAACCAAACACCAATTTCCAAACTAAGTGAATTCCCCTGAACATAATTCAAAAGCAAAACGCTTTTCCAAATAAGCCTGTCGGTATAGAGAAGAAAGACAAAAAACAGAGCGTGCACGAGGAGAAATGGGCTTGTGCACGCTCTCATACAGTTTTATTAGACGTTTCCTCTCGGGAGCAGGTACAGGGTTGTGCATGTGCATTTTTTTTTTTAAAGTGGAGAGGGAGGGTCTTTTCAAAAAATTTTTGAAAATTCTCCAGTATACCTTTAAGTTTAGTTGTTGTACATCAGGGCTCCACCCTCAAATCATGTGTATTCATCATGGTTATCATCCTGCTTACTCTGTTTGTGGAGTTAAAAATATCCCAAAACGTTGTAAACTGATAATTTAAACTTTATATTGGTGTGCGTCATGACTCGTCCGCAGGCGTCACAAAGCCAATCGTTTTAAATGTAAACGAGAGGATGGGTCAGAATTTCTTCCCAAGAGAAAGACTAAAATACATTATATAGATGCTGAAGAATTCCCAGTCATCCAGGTCATAGTCATTCTAAGAAAATAAAAAAAAAAAACAATCCACTGGACTTTGTTTTCCAAGCTTGAAGACGTTTTAACCCATTACAAGGCTGTTGGGCTACTCTATAAAGCCTGGAACTCAACGCTAATCCAGACATTTTTAATTAAAAAAGTTTCCTGGATGGGAAGCAAAACATCTTCAAACTTGGCAGAGTCCAGTGGATTGTATTTAAACTTTTCTTGGAACATTATATAGAAAAAGTCTCTTTCCAAATAAGAATTTAACCAACTTACAAGATAAATTAAATAAAATAAAAAGTGAATCCTGCTTGTGTTTTCAGCAGGTTAAATTCCTCTTAGAGTATCTACACATTTCTCTGGTGTATAAGGAGATAAATGGTTTTGGGCTGGCATAGATTTTAGCTACTTGTGTTTCCCCGGGCTGAAAGTAAACAAATACACCCAAAATCAGAGTTTATCCATAAAAGCTAGTATTTGCTCTGTCAGATCATTTCTATTAAGCTTTAGAGTTATTAAATACAGTGGAATCCGCTTATAGTGACCACGTTGGTCCAGAACATATTTGAACACTATAAGTGGTTGATTACTATATCCGAATTTACCGTTATTTCACTAATTCTCGATGCAGAATATCATCTAAATGCCATTTGTATGGTTTTTCAATGAGAAAAATGAGATTAAACGGATAGCTACTGCATTTACTGAATTTTATTACAGTACCATGCAACTTTCATCACAGTGTACTGCGCTGTGCACAGTTTTAACCACCGGTGTTTTTTTTTTTTGACAAGTCTTAAGTTTGAAACAAACTGTTTCATAGAACAACAACATAGCAGATAACTGCATAGGCTACAGAAAATTAAAGCTAGCCTACGTCTGTTTTGTGTTGTGGATCTGCTTTGTGCATTAAGAAATCACTTAACATTTTTATCCATGGTGTCCTGCATTAGAGTGTCGTCCAACACCGAGTTCACGTCTTTTTCAAAACGATATAAAGGGTCAAAATTTTTGAAATCAACATGCAGGAGACCAGTCTTTAAAATGCAAACTGCATTCCTTATCTCAGGTCTGGAAGGGACAACAGTCTCCATATCTTCATGCACTGGTACTCGCATCAAAGCGCTGTTCTACCTGCTCGATGATGTCCTCATCCTTCACGGGCTCTGACACCGGAGTGCTGTCATCACTTTCGATCCACTTATTATTTTTGCACGTTTACATTCATAAAATGGCCAAAAATGAACACTATAAGCGGATTTCTTGATTACTATAAACAAATCATTTAAACAGCGTTTGTATTGAAATGATTCTGTCCAAAGCCTTTTGAACACTATAAGCGGTTGATTAATATATCCATGACGACTATAAGCGGATTCCACTGTTTCTAAATGTGCTTTTTTTTTCATGACTTTTATATGTTGCTTCATGCTAATGAAGTTGTTCATTTAATCTGGTGTATTTGTGTTAATTTTGTGTGTTACCACTTTGAATGACCCAGAGCTTTTCAAACAAGCCAACCTTTCTTTTAGAAAACTTGAATTACCTCATACCAGCATCAGTTATTTACAGGCTCATCATTTACCAATTTAAGCAACAACATCTGCAGAAAGTGTCTGAAGTCTTTGTGCTTTATTATTCAAAGAATCCATGTCTTTCCCAGCTTCATGTGTTCCTGGAAAAGACATTTAACCAACAAAGACCTTAATCCAGGGAAGGTTTAATAAAATGACTGGGTTTTTTTTTTTCTGCTTCTTTCGTTCTTACTCCAAAGTCTGGAAGCTGGAAAAAAAATGGGTTTAAAGATTTGTTTATTCAGTCTCTGTTCAGGAAATTTAAGATTCAAGAGGCAAATGTTCAACAACATCAATTTATATTTAGCAAACCTTTAAGATTAGCCCTGTGGCTTTAATATAGATAGAATGACATCAGCTAGGTACTATTGCTTATTAGTACTATTTTCCCTTTTTTATAGATTAATGGTTTTACAAAGCGTTAGATTTATATATATATATAAAAAATATATTTTCCTCAAACACTTTGTTAAACATCCTTTAAGTTCCTTTTTAAAGTATTTATCTTTCAAAAATGTCACCAAAGCAGGCAGTATGCAGCCAAGTGTTGGGATAAGCAGAAAGGGATAAGCAGGGGTGAGATCAGGATGATGGAAAGTGACAGTGCATATGATCTAAATAAATAATCCAAGGACCTAAAATAAAATGCTTTGCTGAATAATGGATTATAAAATCCTGACCTGTAATGTTATTGATTAAAGCTCACTGTTCTAATTCTGGACTCACCATAAGGGGCCTGTGTCTGTTTTATGGAGGGTTGCATTTGTTTTTGGAGGTTGGAATAAAAATTCAACTGCAGTATCAATGTTTGCATCCATAGAGGGCAAAGGCCTCAACATAGCGGGACTACTTCCAGCATATTCAGCCAATCTAATCAGGATCAGCTGTACCACAAAGTTGACCATCCACCAACTCACTAACTCAATCGAATTAGAATTCATCATGGATCATGGAACGTGCACACATGAAGGGGCGGGTTCAATGTAGGAGACCAATCGCAACCATTGAAGGGAGGGTGCCGTATTTCTCCTCATCTTACAGAAATATGAAAGAGGGGAAAAAAAGCCTGATTTTTATATTGTGGTGAATATGCACTTTCACAGATTTCCAGGTAGTGACTCACCTACGATGCATTCAAATCCTTCTTTGATAGACTGTTTTCTTGATAAACTTTCCTGATGTTTTACATGAAGCTGCTGGTTGCATAATATCCCATGGCCATACATGCAGTCTGTGATAAAGCGAGGAACGCACTGTTGTGAGCTGCACAACCGACACAGTTCCAGGATCCGGCATATATGCAAGTAGTTCTCATAGTGATCCAAAGGATTTTCTCACAATTTGAGCTCTGATTTTGATTATATACTGTTATTTAGCTATATTTACAATTTATACAAGAAACTGTTATGTGTGTATGAGGACATCAGACAGGAAAAAACAAATACAAAATAGCAAAAGGTGTTAAGCCGGGCTTACACTGTATGATTCTTTGCCCTTTTCGGGCGAATTTCCAGTCGTGCAAGAATTTTCCGATCGGCCTTACTTCAGCCCGATCGTGTGTCATGTAGTGAACAGGGGATCAGCCTCTCACGACCACCTCCTGATTAGGGATCGTGAGGTCGGGAGAAAATCAGACATGCAAATCACTCAGTGTGCATGCGCAAACAGGGACTCCTCTTCTTCTTTTTGGTTGCCTTTTCTTTTTAGGGCTTTCAGGACAAAATTGCACAACACAGCGCGTTTCACTCTAGTGAATGTATAAAATAGACATGAAACAAATATGCCACACCACCATCCTCAAACTACTTCCAGTATCATTCTTTGCCTTTTTATAAGGCAGTATGGTTCAGTTGTAGATCACGTGACGCATATGATGCAAAAAAAATAAAAATTCCCATTAGTTTTGTGAATTTTAACAATTTCGTTACAACTGAAAAAATACCTCATCAAATTGTAAAAGTTTTGTCGAAAAACTGTTTTCTTCAAAATTCCAGTGTTTCCCTTTAGCGAATCTATTTTTATGATTACAATTTGCGTAATTTGATGGTCAAAGGAAACACAGCTAGTAACTAAAGTCTGAAGTCAGTTAAAACAGAACAAAAAGGCGTTTGTAGAGGATGCGTCATAGATGTGCGTTTTTAATTAACTTTAATAGGGGTTGTGTTGTAGGCTGTGGTCAAGTGGTCAAATTGGGGTATGTAGATTTTACATGGACATAAGTAATTGCAATAAATGTCCAGTCGCACTAGAACTTTTTCATGTAAACAAGCCAGTCGGAATATTCTGATGGGATTCGGCAGGGCAGGATGGGATTGTAATCTAACAGAAGGGCCTTCAATGCTGATTGATAATCCGATCAGCGTGCATGTAAATGGTCATCAGGATCCAGTTATTCTGAATGAGGCAAGATGACCCGAGTGCACATAAGCACTCCGCCTCAATGTGATTCATTTCTGCTCTGGTAGCTAAATACAATATTACATCTCGTTATATTTTGACTGACAGGTTTGCGTAAAACATTTTTAGTCAGATCTGCAGCTTTATTCCAGTTACCTATGTCCATATAAATAGAACAACCTAAATTTTTTGTTTTGTTTTTTTTAAATGGAAAACAAATGTTATCTGATGGACAGATTTTGTGCATGTAAACATTGCTAGTGTGCTGTTTGTTAAACACACTTTGATCACAATGTTTGCCAAGCAGAACCTGATGATTTTGAAGCAGCACATATCAAGTGCCACATCTTCATAAGAGTATAGCCAAACAAAAATATTAAATTTCAACCTGTTTTTGTTTGTTTTTTCCCCATTTATTTCACTGTACTAAAAAGTTCTCCATTTTCGCTAGATCTTAAACCACTAGAGTAATTTTTCGATGCAATGGAACAGGAAATTTGCATCTCAAATGTGCAGTTACCTAAACAGAACCGTAAAGGTCTGATATGGATATGCAACAGTGATGGTGAAGCGACGCAGGATTACGGAGTTCTAACTGAAGCAGAGAAGCTTTGCAAGCTGTGTGGTCATTTTCTCCAGGTATCAAAAGAAAATTGTACTAAAATATGTTGATAATTTACATTACGTCGGTCAATATCAATTATAAACCTTAACGACCAACATTTCTACCCTATAAACACATAGGAGGGCTTTAACTATGTTGTAACTGTATAATTATGAACCTGCTGCGAGGCTTTTAAGGCTCCCAACATGTCTGGGCAGGCTGCTCACTTAAACAAAGTAAACACAATGTTTAACCTGCTGGCAAATCTTAAATCGTGACTCTAAAAGGCCTTTGAAGTTTAATCAGATCAATTAGGAGAGCCTGTATCTTTGCAAAGTGGTTAAAGTGGACATACTCTCAGCTATCCTGTTGCACAAGTGATGACAGGAAACTCTGATTTATTACAGTTACTATATTGTACATGGATTGTGTGGTATGCTAAACCAATGATTTTGCCTCAGGTATGAGTAAACAGGTTGAAATGTTGTTGAAATATTGGTTGCATAATAAAAACAGAAAATGAGTTCAGGTCCAGTCCCAACAGGAAAGCTGTTCCTCTGAAATGGGCTCATCGTTTGCATAATTCAATAACAAAACATTCTTCTACAGATAAACCAAAATCAACCGACCTGTTCGAGCTTAAAGATGTGCTGATTGAAGTAATGCTGAAGGCGCTCGTTGGCAAAGTTGATGCAAAACTGCTCGAAGCTGTTGTTCTCAAAGTCCTCAAAGCCAAAAATGTCAAGCACACCGATGGACAAGATCTGAGGGGGAATAAGTAAATTTACTTTCAAGAATATGCTGTAAAATTCAAGTTATAATTTCTAAGCATTAAATAGATTTTACAGGTGGACATCTTCCGTCTCATTTTACCTTGGTGGTCTCCTCCAGGTCTTTGATGTTCAGCAGAGCGTGGTTGATCCTGAACACAATCCAGTCAAACAGAGCGCTGTACAGAGACTTGGCCATCGAATCTCGCACCGTTCCAGCCTGAGAGGAGAAGGGACACACTGGCTGTTAAACATTTATTAGGGCATTCACCAAAAGGACCACTTAATTATGATAAGTCGACTCACACCTAAACAACTCGAAAGTTGCCCCCTGGCAGGTGTGGGCCTGCATGGCGGTGTGTGTGTGCATCATCATTTTATGGGCTTAGTAAATAGACCGACCTTATATAAACAAGGCTGTCAATGCAGACATACGCATTTTATTTTAATTTTATTATTTTTATATAGATGAGGGCAGTTTTAATTCTTTCTGCTCCCTTTAAGTTATGAATGAAAGAATTATGTTGTGTTTTATTGAATGAAATAAATAAACTAAAGATATTGCATAGCTCAGTTTAGAGTTTCACCACCTACACCAAGAGCTGCATGCTGTTCAGGGTCCCTTCTAGAGCTTGTATTGTCTCATCTGAGCCCAGTTAGATAACCTGCCACACCGAATCGGTACCCGCATTTCTTGCCAGGATACCAACACATAGCATGCCTCTCTCTGATTGGTTGTTGTCTGGCAGAAAGGGTTCGGATTTTTCCAACTCACGCCTAGGCTGCTTTTCACGCGCCTCGGAGGCTTAAATGTTCATGATGCGTTTCTTCAGCTGCTCGAAATGCAGCACCTCTTGATGCGCCCTAATGAGCTTACACCATAGACTTTATATGTAGCTGCTTCTGCTGCTCAAAGCCGGCCCCCCCTCCCTGAATTAATTTGATGATGTCATAGAACGAGGCATCGATTTGACTTCAACTTTTACCGTCAAAACAAACTTATCTGATTTGGTCATGTTTATCTCTGGGAAAGCTGTGCTATTCTATGATGATATGAGTTTGTTGTGATGCCTGATGAGGGAACAGGCAAAGAGGGAGCATTTGACTTTCAAGATATCTAAATACCACCTAAAATATAATAAGACAGGAGAAAAAAGTTACCTAGCTGAGAAGTAAAAGTTTACAGGGCTTCTAAAAATTAGACTTATGCTACGTTCAGACCGCACGCAGCAGAGGAAGCAGAAGCAGCTAGTTTGCATGCAAAGTCAATGGTTGACACAGATTAAGGTGCAGCAAAAGGTCCTGCAGCGCGTCCGAGCAGCTGCAGCAGCACCTCATGAGCTTCTGAGCATCTGACGCACACGACGCGCTGCAAAAGCAGCAGCTGCTGGGGTTGGAAAAATTGAACTTTTGCTGCTCGACGCGCCACATCAACCAATCAGAGAAGTTGATCTGGGAGCTGGCAGGGAGACAGACACAGCAGATCGCTATGATCACTCTGAAACAGTTTTTTAACACCTAAAATGTCGAAATCTGCCTCCAAAATATGTTTATTATTCTGGTGCCTACAGTTTGGATTACATACATGAAAAACGCCTTCCAGCCGCAGCAAAGAGTAGCGGAAAAAACACAAGAGGCGAATGGGCCAGAGGCTACTGTTAAAGGGGATTCCCAGTGAAATAATATTTGAAGGCAGGATTGTTTTCTTGATGAACTGACTGCATAGATTAAGTTTTCAGGTGGACTTTCTCACTTAAAAGAATATTAAAACTACTTTATACCCATTGATCACAGCAAATATAGCAAATCCGCTCTCTGCCATTGAACACAGGAGCAGCAGAAGCATCAGACGCATCTGGACACACTTTACTGGACGTCTTTAATGTGGACAAGCATCAAAATTGAAGCAGCAGAAGCTTTTTTGCAGCTTCCAGTGCTTGTGGTCTGAACATAGCATTATTCATTAAAATAAGCCAAGCGACCCTCTAGATTTCATCCGCCATTGTTACAGGGAAGGAAAGGTTAGGGTAGCTCCTCCCAACACGCATCAGACGCACTTTTCGACTGCGCAGCTATAGCAGCAGAGATGCTTCAGCCGTGCATCAGAACTAAACTTGAATTAATCTGAGCATTATGTAGAAGAGTTTCTTACAGAGATGCGATTCCTTCGATTATTGATCTGTCATCTTCACTGCTGTTCTAATTTCCCCTGTGAGGGAAACAAAGAGTTTTTATCCCAGAGTCCCCCCCTCTGGTTCCTGGTGAGACACATCTGTATTAGACATTACAGTTTGGCCAGATGTATTTGACTGTGTGGCTGCTTTTGTATTTGGCGGTTGTAAAATAGATTAAAAAAGGGATCGAAACATGGAGAACAAGTGATTTATCTGTTAGGGGAAGATATAAAATTCAGACAGAGTAGATTCTAAGAGATTTTTTTAGTTTTCCTTTTTCAAAATGTGCCATCTCTGCTTTAAGAATCAAGCTTTTAAATGTTCATCTGAAAATAAATCCATTCCCCATAGTCTTATAACTGATATAGAATATCCAAAAAGCAGAAAGAGGAAAAAAGCACACAAAAGAAGAGGAGACAGCATTTTGGTGAAATTTTTCCCAAATAACCAAACTACACGTGTTTGTTTTTTTTATCCAGTGTATCTTTAAGAACAGATTCAATGTCATTTTACTGAACCTGTGCAATGAATGATTTCACCTTCCAGTAAAACCAGAAATTCAGGGCAGAAAACACCCATTTCTGTTGAAAATTAACCATTTATTGCTCACACTCCCACCCTACATTTGTTTGTTACATCAGGAGGGATTTTGATTCAAGTCTCCTTAATGATGAGAACTTTTCATTAATGGAGGATAGGCAGGTTTAAGACCAAATGAAGAAAACATAAAAACATATTAGTTGATTTATTTTAGTTTTTTCTTTTCTTTTCTGCATTATTGTAGTTAAAAGACTGTTGAGACTGTCTGAGTAATATTTACACTAAGACCACCCAGTGAGCTTCCATAACAGCAACTGTTTGTTCATTTAGAAGGACTCCTAAATATCCAGCAGGTCATTACGAGGTTTGGTGGGAATATTTAACACAGCACTGTTTTCTCGGAAAGTCTGGAGATAAATGGTGCCAAGATGCAGTAAGGAAAAAGACAAATCCCCGACGATTCCTTACAAACTTCAACCTCCAAAGTTTGAATACTTTCTAATCAAGATGGGTTTCATGTTAAAATTGGTAGAAACTACAATTTGTTCAGGATCCGCTGTGTATTTCTGACGCCTCTCGCTTTTAGAACGTGACGCTTGTTTGTTTTCAGAGCGGAGGTCCCAAAGAAAACTCTAAAGGGGGGCTCAGAATGCCTGCTTCTCTCTGCACACGCTGAAGGACTTTGTGATCGTCAGTTTGCTGATGCCTGCATGTGCGCATGTGGAGCTGCAGACGGAGGGAGTCAGCAGGAGGAGATCCGGTGCTGGTGCACCCTGTCCTGTAAACATAGCTGCGCCTGACACAGAAAGAAAGGCAGCTATGATGGGAAGGTTGACTACCCACCTTCAATGGTACAGGAAGTTACTCGGACATGCAGCTACTTTAAGGGGGGGATCTGCATGCCTGTCAGAACAATTTGCCATAAAGTGGGTTTTACTGTATTCATTTACCACAAATTATTCAAGTGTCACATCAATGGTGCCTTAAGGACATTTTATAGGATTAAAGTATGATTATAGTCACAGACAAAATAGTACTAACTTGTAAAATGAAGAATGTAAGTGATTTTAGGTTTTCGTGTTTGCAGGTGTATTTATTCCCCTTCCCTCCAACAATAGCGCCTTCCAAACTGAACTAGTAAGCAACAAAATTTGACTATGATACCCCTTTTTCACTGGCCGAAAAAGCCGTTTAAGCCCTCTGACAATGTGCTTTTAGTGGCATTGACCCCGGCAGACATGTGTCTACCCAAGTCAAATGACTTGACAAGCGACCTGCGTTAAAAACGCCTTGGCTCTGGTCGGCATGTAGTGGAAACACCAGACCCAGGTTAACCAGCTAAATTACATGAGGACTTTGAGCTCAATGTACGTACATCACAACAATGCGTCCATCACGTGTTAAATAACAAGCCCAAACGACTCTGCTAGTATTTAAGAAACATGGCACACCACTGCCAAGATAGAGAGATCTATGCGCTCCTTATGATCCGTGGAGAAGAGAGGATTCGTCACCAGGTTTCAGGCACCATGTTGCTCTCCATTATTTACTTCCCTGATTTCTGTCACACTGTCAACATCATCAACACTCACCCAGTGTAATGACGTCATCAGACACGCAGTGGTGGGGGACAGTGGCTACGCAACTTGCCAGCAGGTGGTTAGACTCAGCTTTTCGGTTAAAATGGCAAAAAAAGCCAAAAGCCGATTGTTAGCGGTTTGAAAAACCAGGGTTTTCAGTGTGAAAGAGGCTTTAGAGAACAGCATCATGAAGACCAAGGAACCCAAGTAGTGGTACTGCCACCATGTGCAATGGCCTGGCCCCCCTACTGGCCACCCCCCACCTACCAGTGTAAATTCCAGTAGCATCAGTTTAGTATTTCATCCCATTATGCACAGCCAGCGATGAAACATAAAAAAAATTACACTATAAATCATGATATGAGGAGTTGTTTTCTTAAGTCTTTATGATTTCTACAGGCAGGCTTTTCAAAATAGTAGATTCAAACCCTGGCGCCACTGCAGGTGAGGGAAAACAATCATGGAGTTTTGGTTGGGTGCTAAATTATCACACAATATTCCTGACTTCAATCCTTAATATGAAAAAAAAGATAAAACATCTGCAAACGTAAGAAGCCTAACAAGCCACACAAATAGAGCTTTAGTAAGAGAAGCAACCAGGAGGCATTAATCTGTACAGAGTTCAACAGATATTTTCAGGCAAATGACTTATGGTCTACATAAAAACACATAAAAATAAAAAAAATCAGTAAAAATGGCAGTGATTGTGTCTGTCTAATAAGTGATAATACAGAGCTATTGGTATGAAGCTCTACCCCCAGATCGTCTCTAAAAACAGCAAAGCATCTGTTTCTGTTTGGTGTTTGGAAGAAGTGGAGAAGCAACTGCAGCCTCACCTCAGCCAGCTTGTAGGGAACAATCAGCTTCTCTCCCACGGTGACCGTCTTCCTGGTCGTCAGAGCTTCAAAAAGCATGTCCTCTCTCACCTGGCCGTAACACAGGCAACAGGTCAGTTTTCTAAATGTCCTAATTCCTTCTCTTTCAGCTGCACCTTTGAAAGCTAATTCATTTAATGGGGCTTTATTTTCTACTGGGTAAAACAGAACAAGTGAAGTGAAGCTCTTCTGCAGTACCTCCAGCAGCTCTGAAACAACCGGCAGCACCTCAGGGTTGCAGATGTCGATAGAGTCGTCCCTGTACGTCTTCTTCTTGTAGCGGATGTTTCCCAGGTGAAGGATGGCCGACAGCAGAGAAAAGATCCTGACAAATAAGAAAATAAAAAAAGGATGTCATTTGACCCTGGTGGGAAAGCTTTAGGGAAGCCATGGACGGCGGTTTTCCTGCATCGCTTACTGTTTGCGTGTGGCCGGAAGAAAGCCCACCATCTCCATGGCCAACTGAAGCCTCTCAAAGTCATGCTTTAGGTCCTCTCCTTCAACGGTGAAACAATCCTACAAGAAGCAGAGCCAGACTGTTATCAGCCCTGGATCCACTGGGAACCATGACCGCTCACTGTGAGCTCACTGAAGCCTGCTGACGTACACGCAGCCTCGGCGTTTCTCATCATAATTAAACCGAAGTCGCCTAAAATAACTTTTTTCTATGTTTACTTTGAAGCTGAGACAGAAACAGCGTGATAGCCTAGATCGGCCAAAATGAGCGGCTCTTGCTAGAGCAGGCTATGATTAGGACTCTCTGGGTCAAACCAAACAGTAACACTCCAGCCTGATGTGCAGAGTGACTTTTCTTCACTTTACGCTCCTGAAGTGGAAAATCTGGCCCGGCTTCCCCTTTAAAACGAGTCCACAGAAATCTGGCGAGCTATTTCTGTGGACTCGAGCCATAAATCACAGAGCAGCTGTGATTTATGGCTTTGTTTGTGTTGAAGTGATGTATGACAAACTAAAATAGCAGTAAGGAGAAAAAGGATGCATTGGTCTTTAGACAAAAGCAGTGATGTGTGAAAGAAGACGGAAATTTAAATACATATAAATACATACGCTGGACGGATCCAAAGCCTAAATTAGCACAGCAGATGAATACAGGCCAGTAAAACTACAATCATGCAGTCACCCCGATAAAGAAAGAAAAATCCTTCTGTAACAGGTGAGGCTTGCATAAACTGTTTTGCAGGCATGGATGTTTCAAACAACACAACCTTTGGAATGAATGTAGACTTGTTTGTTGATGAGTGGAAAGGTAGTAGAGCATCATAGATTCCTTGTAATCCTTAAGAGCAGTAATAATCACGACTGCTGTGCTGTAATTTTATCCAATCAGAGCACAAACTCAGGCTGACTGCACTGCAGGAAGAAACCACCTTTTAAAATATCTGTAATTCCCCTCCAGTGAGTCAGACCTGCTCACAAACTTAAGGCCGTTTTAATCAGACTTTGATCTGACTTCCTGAGAATCTGTCAACGACTTGCATTAAGCTTTGCTGGGTTTTTATTTCTTTATTTTCATTTAGTATAACACCTGCAACAATTGCCGTGTTTTGTGGGATATATGTAAAGAAGTGAAGAAGTTCCAGGTCTCAGATATCCGACAGATGTCATAACTCGAGACCAGAGGGATGCACCATGGTTTGACTGATGATCTATCAGCTTAAACCCGGTTTTCTTTTATATTTTCCAGAAATGTAACTACAAATGAGTGAAGGAACAGGTGGGTTTTACAGTAGCAGCCATTCAAAATTTCCCCACTTTCCTTGATGTGCCCTTAGCTGGTCCCCTAAAATTCCTTTCTAAACATCTAAAATATTCTGTCATGATTGTTAAGATCTAAAGAGAAGCATCATCTCCTGGTCAGACCCTGTCATTCAGTGAAAGGGTGGAGTCAGAGTAAAGAAATACGCACGTTCAGGAGAAGGCCAGTGGCTGGAAGTTGGAGGGGATTTTGCTGCCATTGGGCTGGATTTTGACTGGGAAGGACCATTTTGAATAGCTGCTACTAGGGATGGGAATCGAAAACCGGTTCCTGTTAAGAACCGGTTCCGTATTTTCCGATTCCATGGCATCGTTTGGCAGCTCGCTGAACGATTCTTTTTTCGATTCCCGCAGCACCAGAGCCTAGAGCGCCGGCTCTGGGGAGCACGACTTACGTCACGTTTTTTACGTAAGTTACGCAAGTTACGCAAGTTGGAAGAACAATTCGAGGAGGAAGACAACGAGCTGCGGTCACTTTGTGAATCAAAGCCCCGTCTTTCCTTAGCCCAGAGGGTAGACCAGGAAATCCAGCTCTGTAAAAGCTTGCCCTCCATCCCCTGCAGGGATAGCGCCACACTGTGGTGGTGGAACAAGCAAGATATGGTGCCCTTGCTATCTGGACTGGCTGAAAACTACCTCTGTGTGCAGGCTTCCTCCACCCCATCTGAGAGGGTGTTCTCCACGGCTGGAGACACCATAAGCCCTGAAAGATCCCGTATCCTTCCAGAAAAGCAGATATGCTCATCTTTCTGCAAAGAACTGTTAATTTTCCCTACTACTGTTTTATAATTAGTATTTTTTGTTATTTAAAATAGGTTATTATCCCATAATTTGTTATTAGACATTGTTGGTTAAACACAGATGTTACTCCAGTTTCAAATTTCCTGTGGACATCTTGATCTTGTTGAGTTTGTAAGATTGTGCAATAGTTAAGTAAACAAAGTTGATGCTGATAATCAAACTGTTTGTTCTCCTTTTCCCCCCAAATTGGAATCGAAAAAATAATCGATAAAGAATCGAATCGTTTCATAGAATCGAAAAGGGAATCGGAATCGTGAAAATCTTTTCAATTCCCAACCCTAGCTGCTACTGTAAAATAAATTGGAAAAGATCCTTTTTCTGCGTTTTTGGTTCTGTGTCAAACCAAAGTGATGCAACTCAAACCTTTAGGGAAAACTGTTAATTTTCCCTACTACTGTTTTATAATTAGTATTTTTTGTTATTTAAAATAGGTTATTATCCCATAATTTGTTATTAGACATTGTTGGTTAAACACAGATGTTACTCCAGTTTCACATTTCCTGTGGACATCTTGATCTTGTTGAGTTTGTAAGATTGTGCAATAGTTAAGTAAACAAAGTTGATGCTGATAATCAAACTGTTTGTTCTCCTTTTCCCCCCAAATTGGAATCGAAAAAATAATCGATAAAGAATCGAATCGTTTCATAGAATCGAAAAGGGAATCGGAATCGTGAAAATCTTTTCAATTCCCAACCCTAGCTGCTACTGTAAAATAAATTGGAAAAGATCCTTTTTCTGCGTTTTTGGTTCTGTGTCAAACCAAAGTGATGCAACTCAAACCTTTAGGGAAAACTGTTAATTTTCCCTACTACTGTTTTATAATTAGTATTTTTTGTTATTTAAAATAGGTTATTATCCCATAATTTGTTATTAGACATTGTTGGTTAAACACAGATGTTACTCCAGTTTCAAATTTCCTGTGGACATCTTGATCTTGTTGAGTTTGTAAGATTGTGCAATAGTTAAGTAAACAAAGTTGATGCTGATAATCAAACTGTTTGTTCTCCTTTTCCCCCCAAATTGGAATCGAAAAAATAATCGATAAAGAATCGAATCGTTTCATAGAATCGAAAAGGGAATCGGAATCGTGAAAATCTTTTCAATTCCCAACCCTAGCTGCTACTGTAAAATAAATTGGAAAAGATCCTTTTTCTGCGTTTTTGGTTCTGTGTCAAACCAAAGTGATGCAACTCAAACCTTTAGGGAACATCTATCTCAAGACGATCAAGGAAAGTGGTTAAATCCAGCTCAGTCAAATTCTTACCCAATTTATAACGACATGCTACCGCTTCTCACATAACTACTATCAGTCCCCCCCTACCATTGTAGATGAGCGTTACTCATCAGTTTGTTTCTCTCACTAGTTTGGCATCAAGATGAAATGTTGGGGACTAATAATAAACACGCTTAAATGTTACATATAATGCAATTAATGTGTGAAAATAAAATGTCATTCATCATATTTATGTTTAATTTGATTCCATTTGGATCTGTAGACCAATTAAAAATGTGACAGACCTTTATCGTTACCTTTTCCCAAAATATTGGATTAACAAACACATATTTCATTGAAGCAGCCAAATATCGTCGTTTCCTTGACACTTTTCTTTAGCTTTACTGCTTCTTTTACATTTTTCACTATATGAGAAGTTTAGAAAATCAAGGAGCTGCAGATGAGCAACATTTCAAACCTGAAATCAAGAGTGAAACCAAATGAAATAATAATCAAAAAGGAGAATCCACAAAAACCAGACACAGAACAACCTTTTTATAACCATCTTCCTTAATCCAGCATTTCCACATTGGATTGTTAATCCACTCAGATTTACAGGCTGAGCAAATTTGGGAGGATTAGAAGGACCCTGAAACCCGAAGGTTCTGAAGGGTTTCCCTCTAAAACTGCTCAAATCTTCCATGTCAATGATCTGAGGGTTTAAATGCCTCTTAATGCAAGACAGGAGTGAGCAGATTTTTCTCTGACGTATGGAGGACTCAGCTGTGCACTTATGGTCAGCTGCCTGAAAGAGTTCTGGACATTATTATAAAAGGGCAATCTATTTTATTGAAGTCACCTAAAACAGTCAGTAATGGTAATGCTAAAGGATTACCACCTAAAACAATAGTTTCTAAATATTTTCCTAATATTTACTAGCTTGCTAACTGAGCAGACAGCCCAACTAACTATAATATCTATATCCACAGTATAGCTGAAATAATCTGCCCAATAAGCTAAAATACGATGACGCTGCATTGATAAGGTGGTATATTTATTGACGGCTAAACTGCAGAAAAAGCATAGAAGTAGGGGTCTGCGATATATCGAATATAATCGATGTATCTCAAGTTTTCCCCACGCATGATAATTAAAATGAATACCGCGACCATCGAGTACAAATTCGCATGAAAACATTAAGCCGTCTGCATCTATTTCACTGAGATTTCTATTTTTCACCACACACTTTGAATGCATCATAAACTCCTCTTCCAAACAGGATTATTTTCTTGCACAATACAGCAACCAGCAAACAAAATAAGGGGACAGCAGGTTTTCAGCTGAGCAATTTACAGCAGTGGTTTGGATTTCACGCCGAGGACGTCAAACAAAAGGTGCTAATTTGTAAGATCAAAAAACCGTTGCTGCAAAAGGTAGGAGTACAAATATACTCCCCCACCTAAAAAGTAGTCTCCCCACACACCAATTAAATCGTTAAATAAATCATCCGTGAAGCCGATGGCAGCCTCGTCGTTTGAGGAAGTGAGGGAGGGAAATCGCAGGCGTTATTTATCACATTATTTCAATGATTTTTTAGATGCTCTAATACCTGTGATGTGGTGTTCAGAGGTTTGCAGAATTTTTCTAAACTTGGCAATGTTGTAATTTTTACAACATTTTGTGCTTCTTTAAAATTCCCAGCACCTAAAGATCAGTGCAAATACTTTGGAGATGCTCTGATAATGCTCTAATTTTTGGATGGTATTTCCGCTATCATTTATGTAATTTGAGGTAAAAAAAAAAATAAAAAAATTTCTATTCTGATTTCTTTTTTTATTAATTAATTTTTTATTATTATGATGCACAAAAGAGCCCTTATTTATTTAGCATTTTATTTAGTATTGCGTGTTTTTGCTTTATTTCCTGTTTGGTTGCCGGGATATTTTTAAAGACACCCAAACACATCATGTAGCAGGAAAGATTTGAGCTGGTTAAAATAAAATGTTTTAAATTTGAAACCAAAAGTTTGAACAATTATATCAGTGCAATTTTATGCACTCTATTGTTTTTGAAGGTAATTTGAACATATTGTGATATATATCGCGATATAGCCCACATATATAGCAAAATTCGATTGTCTTCATATCACTCAGCCCTACATAGAAGCCAATCCTCATGACTGACAGAAGCTCACCAAATACTCTGCATCTTGTTATCCTAAAAGTTATTAGCACAGCCTGTGTTTTGTTAAAGGATTTAAATTGGAAATGCTGCATTGGAAGAGATCAGAAGTATGTTATCATAACAGCAGAGAAAGCTACTAGACATAACTTAGAGAAGCAGCACAACGGAGGAAAGGCAAAAACAAACACAGCTAAAATAAACATAAAGCACACCAAACCAGGAAACCCAAAAAAGAAACAAACTGAGTGGAGGAAAGAGGCTCTGAGGGGGGGTGGGGGTGCAGGAAAGGCATAGTTTACTCCCAAAGTGTTCAGGTGATCTAATTATTTAAAAAGAAAAAAAAACTGTGCAGATAGGTGTGCGGCTCACACTGAGGCACAAATACTGACCGGTTCACTCTCATCACAGTAACTGTCCCAGCGAGGCTTGCTGCTTGTCTTTGTCATCTGGAAATGTTAGGGCAGGGGTCACAGGCAGGTAGGTCAGGGTTAGAAGCTCACACATTTCAACATGGAAGCTCATTAGAAAAAATAATAATAACAGAGCAGCAGAATGATCAGCTCATTGCATTTCAGGTTAATGTTTGTTCAGGTCAACATTCAATCCTAGAAAGATTAAAAGCAGCTAAGCTTTCATACAACAGGGGAGAAAACAGATAAACAACAAACACATTCTCACAGTCAGTAAAGGACATATTTGTTTGTTTGTTATTTCCTGGTCAATTAAATGTCAAAAATGAAGCCAATAAATAATAAAATAAATCCTTTACAATTAGATTCATCATATTGTTTCTTTCAATTATTAAAAAGGAACAATTTTTAATTCAATTCCAAGACCTGCTGTAAAATGACAAGGAATGTCAAAATATAACTAAAACAAAGCTGCATTCTTACTGTAGAAAATATGATCAGTGTATTTCTGTTGTTTGGTGTATTTAGTTTTTTAAATACCACATTCTTTGCTATGTCAACATCCTCAATTCTCAGCAAATTTTCATGTTCTATTAAAAACTCATCTCAGGTATGAGTCACAGCCATCATATCTGTAAATTAATTGATCTTTGCCTAATAATGAAAATAAGTCCTTACAATAAAGACTTTTCCTCAAAGGTAAAATGCCATAACATTTTACTTTATGTCAATCTAGTAAAATCCCCCAACCCCTATTTCTTCCGTTTCTTTTTTTTTTCTAATCAATCCCTGACTCTTTCAAATAAAGCCAAATATTATGTTCTAATCTCCGGTTTGAAGGAGAGGCCCAGAGTATTCTTCATGGCCAACCATTACCTATGGTTCACCACAGATAAGAGCAACTTGGTCAAACTAGGACAGCATGTTTGATGACTGTGGCAAAAATTGTGATTAAAAATATATATGTTAAACTTTCTGCGACCATAGCTAAACTTTTAAGATGTTTCTGGGGAGAAACTCCTATAAAAGCACTGCAGGTAGGCCGCCTCATCCCAACCACCTGTAGTAACAAGCAGGGAAACAATAACCAATGGGAAAATATAAGCAGCTAATGAACGGTGTTATAACAAAAAGTGCATGCCCTGTCATGGTAAAGCTTGCTGCCAGGTATTACTGCTAATAGAAGAAGAAAATGGAATAAATATGACAGAAAAATAAGCTCTTTGATGCAGGACTGTCCACTTCAAATGCTTTTAAATCACCTCCGAAAAAAAAAAAAAAATTGTGGAATTGGATCAAATTGCAATTAACTGAACCAGTTAATGAAATGTAGCTTCTTTGTTTAAGGAAGTGGAAAATGACTCTGTGCAACATTTATCTGAATCAGTTCATCCATCGGAATTAACACCCATCGGTCTGACCATCCGTGAAAAGGTGTATTATTTAAAGGAAAAGTCCGGTCATATTCAGATATATGAAATTATTACATACTGTTCGATAAATGATAAGTGTTTTTAATTAAGAGTAATTTTCATTTGAATGTGCTTTTCTGGAGGCACCCATGTTTGTCAAAGAACACTACTGCCCCCTACTGATTTGTGACGTCACGGTGCGGTATCGGCTGTTGATCAAGTCCCAGTGCTGTATCTGATGTTTATTACAACGTGCGACTTATATAAATGTTGGCTACATAAACAGTGTTTTTTCTCTGGCCAGAAGTTCGAAGGCAAATCCTTCCTCTTCAAGTTGGCAATCCAACGACGAACCCGTCCGTGGAGGATCAGGAATCAGAAAGGTGAAATAACTAACGATTTTTCCACTTTTACCCGATGTATTCCAACATCCAGCTGCCATGCACGTGGGCATTGTCAGTTTAACTATAGCTCTGGTGAATTTCAATGGTGAAGTCCTCTGGAAATATTTAATAATTGTTGCTGATTGCAGATGTGTCTAGTAGCTCCCATTGATTTTGCTTGTAAAGGTGGGGAGAATGGCGCTAGGCTTACCGCACCGTGACATCACTGCCGGAAAATGTCAGGAGTGAGGTGCTCAGTGACCACGACCAAAATTATTGTTTTTATTTTTTTACTGATCAATGCTAAATTCAAATAAATCACTTGGAACATTAGTTTTAGGAAAAAATAATGATTCGTTGATTATTCCTTGCTGACCGGACTTTTCCTTTAAAGTCCAGGCTATGTAAGTATAGTTCATACTTCACATGAGCTTGGCTTTATGACAAGATAATAAAAGGATAGGGCCTTGGGCCTGGTTTATCTATCTTTAAAATAAATCCTGATAACCACAAAAGTTCTTTTTCATTTATTTTAAAACTAGAGGTTAAAGGAATAGTACACCCAAAACATGATAAGCCTTCATTTTCTACTCACCCCCATGCTGAACAACACTCTGGAGTACTTTTTTCCTGAAAGCGCGCGCCTGCAAGTTCACGACGCAACGGAAACCGCGACAGACCAGACCAGATGAAAGTGCGCATTCAGCTCGGCAAAGAACTCATGCTCTTCCTCAACACTGAAGTCCTCAGACATTTTTCTTTCGTTGTTTCTTTCTTTGCACAGGTAAACAGCACATTTCTTCTTCTACGCTTGCATTATCGGCAGAGCAGACGCTGAATGCGCACTTTCATCTGGTTTGGTCTGCCGGCTTCCGTAGCGTCGTGAACGCGCAGGCGCGCGCTTTCAGGAAATCCTATACACTACTGTTTATGCTCTAAAAACATTCTAAATGACTTCGTTTCGAGTAAATTCTGGACGCTACCCACTCAGGACATTTGGAATACATTGGACGAGCAGTATGGAGGAATATTGACACGTTTTTTGTGGACTTTTATGGACCTTTCTGCCTCGGGCACCATATACCTCCATTATTTGAATGTCAGCAGACAGCAAGAAGCCTCCCAGATCTCCAGATGCATTTGAGATATCAAAAAAGTACTCCAGAGTGTTGTTCAGCATGGGGGTGAGTAGAAAATGAAGGCTAATCATGTTTTGGGTGTACTATTCCTTTAATTAGTGCAGAATTCACTTGGTTTAATGAGCATAAACATCAATAGGGCTGCAGTTCTGGACGCTGGAACAGTTTTTGGCAAAGAGAATAAAAAGTAAGGCCCCTAAGGATTCATAGCTATAAATGACAGCAATATATCTTGGCAGCTTGTCAATAAATCCTGACAAACCAGGTGGGGTCAAAGAAAAATGTATATGTGAGATCTTTCCGGAGCACAGGGCAAGTTTCATTTTAAACTAAATCGAAATAAGCGCCCCCCACAAAAAAACAAAACAAAAAGAAAAACGGATATATAAGTGTGCACGGATGCATTCACGTGTTTATATGTGCACACTGGGAAGAATGGGAGGAATTCCCTGCTCTCCTCTTTGCAGGAGGAAAGGCTCTATTGGGGGGGTAGCAGGTCCCTGGGTGTCATATCGTGACTAGGAAAGCCCAGAGGCGAACAGACAGCAAGTTTTATAGGGCACAAACATTCCATACAGTCAAGGTGTTTTCATGCCAAACCTGTTTCTGTAAGGAGGAAAAAAAAACCTTTTGATGAGTCAGTCAGCATGTGCTAAAACATAAACACCTCATTCATATGCAATTAATGTTCCCACAAATATGCCAGCAAAAGGAAAACAAACAAATTAAACGGCTCCTTAAACAGCTGAGAGGGTTATAATGGTAAAGGTCTGCTGTGTTTGTGAAGGGAAGAGTAAAGAGTCGGGGGTCTGAAAGCCGTCTGCAGCGTTTCCTTTGTGTCCCGAGGTTTTGCTTTCCTGGACACTGAGAATGATGAGCGGATGGCAGAAACACCGGACTAAACGTGTGCAAAACACTTCCAAATACATGGATTCTGCTGAAAGAGCCTCTACCTGACTGAGGTAATGATATTCTTCAGGCTTCTTGAGGTGAAATGCTCTTCGCTCTTCTTCACTTGCTCCTGCCAGCAGGTAATAAAACACGTGGTAGTTTCTAAAACAAAGAACAAACAGGAAAATCGGTAGACTTTATAAATTAATAATTAAGAATCAGTGGTGGGCATAGAATATTTTCTAACCTAGATTAATCTCACTGTATTCTTGGAATTAATCTAGATTAAAATCACTAATTTGAATTCTGCCAAAGGCATTTATTATGTGCATGTGCTACCTCCAGAATTTAAAATAACAGGTTTATTTTTTTTTGTTTGCAAAATCACACGATTTCATTTTCTTAGTTAAGATGTTGACAAAGTTGTAAATAGTGTTGCGCCGATGCCATTTTTTGGCTCCGATACCGATACCAGATACCTGGCTGTGCAGTATCGGCCGATACCGATACCATAATAATGTAAAATAATTGCCATCATGGCTTTGTTAAGCTGCTGCCTACCTTTGTGAATCAGGAAAAAATCTAATATAAAGTGAATCCAGTAGAACTTTTTATTGCCTACCAGGAGTGGTTGACAATAGTTGAATAAACTTATGGCTCTAAAAATGGTATCGGCACCCTATTTGTTGGTACTCGCCGATACCGATACCACCATTTTAGGGCAGTATTGGGGCCCCGTCCGATACTGGTTTCGGTATATGTGCAACACTAGCTATAAATACATTTTTTTTGCTCATTTGTTACTGAGTTTTTGTTGCAAAAAGTATAGTGTCCCACTTCCAATTATAAATGTCCCACTTTAACAGTATAGCACAGCGGTAACCAATTAAAAATCAGCGGGGTCCGAATAAAGCAAATCAACAACCAGTTAAGTAATTTTTTATTATAATCTGTTACTTTAAACATAATTTAACACTGAAATAAAATGATGTTTTTATGCATTTTATGCAAAACATAAAATAAAATAAAAAAAATAGATCTTTTTTTATTTTTAAATCTGAAGTGTTTTTTTAAACAATCGTTCAGTTCGGTATATAGACAATTTCCTGATTGACATATTTTATAAAACACCTTTTTTTTTCTCCTTTCTTTTTTATGGCTTAATGAGAGCAGTGGGCTTCAGGCTGCAAGGCGTTAAACCTGGGTTTGAATGGAGACAAAGCCATTCTAAAGCACATATCAAGGTGCTCATTTTTACCCTGGATCTATATTTATTTTTTATTATGTTCATGGTGGAGAATCCTGCCATGTCCAAACATACTTAAAATGTGCAGGGTCATCTTTGAGCACACCATTTCACTTTTCTTTCACCAGTTCACCACAGTTCTTCCAGCAGTCCACACTTTCTCTGCTCTCTTTTTCTTATCATCTTCTCCTCCTTTCCGGCTTGCCACAGGTTTTCCTGCTCTGTCTAAATATAGCAGCAACACAGACTGACAGCAGCTCATTGGCTAATTTGTATCACGTGCAGCCTGGTGCCGGACGCTCAGGGAGGGCTTTACCATGTCAGTAGGAGAGGCGGATTAGCGGACCTTGGTCCACTAATCCGTGACCTCTGATACAGTGTCTCCAAAAATTTGAGGCAATATAAGGATAAAATATCCTTATAGGATTGAAATATGAACAAAACAGGAACTAGGAACTTTTTTATATATTTCTTATGCATGGATGCCCTAAAATAGATTTTTGGTCGACATATTTCAGTATGTTTTTTCATCAGTGTGCGAGAGGGGTGGTAATTATTGGCAGGCTGGTATTTCTCGGCTTAACACCCGATATGCCACAACACCGGCGTCTTTATAGCTGCATCCATGTCACCACGTCACGCTCAATGTGGTAATTACAGTACGCCTACAAAGGTTGGAAGGCTGATTCGTTCTCGGCCCCAGATATACATCCGCGCTAAAATATCAAGGTGAAAGTCATCATTAGTATAGACCCAGCTCCCAACCCAACTGTGAGAATAGATTAATGGAGATATTTTTTTATCGCGCAGTAAACGTCTGGCGTTAACACAGCCATTAATAGCAAGTGGCCCACCACTATTAAGAATATCTGAAAAAAATAATTCAGATTAATTAAAGTCAGTCTGGATTAAAATTTTCAGTCATTAGGAATCTGGAAGCTGATAATCTTATGGTAAATAGTCAAACCTTTAAGTGTGAAGATATATAGAATAGTAGTATGTGAGCAGGTCCACACTAAATTCCCCCCAAATAATCCTTACAAATATCTGACAGGTGCAAAGTTAAAATGAAGCACAGTCAGACTCAGATCATGGATGTCAGGTCAGGTTTAGAAGTTATGATAAATCTGAACATTTCCTCTTTGCCTTTCTTCAAACAGCAGGGTGTGATCTTTACAGCCTTTGGTTTGTGATCAATTCACTGTTATCAATCACTAAAGGAATGGGTGTTAGGCATCAGGTAATTAAATCAGAAGCTGTGACATGTCATCTCAAACTTAGGTATTACGTGCGGGTGGGTCTTTGGCTCTTCACGACCACTATTGAGCATTTTGCCTATGGATAAACCTTATACACATAAGCGCACATTCACAAACACCAAATTTTATCTTCAGCTACAACTGCATGCATTCCGTATTGATTAATACTCTATGTTGCTGTATTGTATCTGTAGTTTTATATCAGTTGGTTGTGCTGTTCTTTTTGTATCTCTCTTTGCAGGAGATGAAGCAGACTGAGGAAGTTTTGTCAATATCTATTTTTCCTTCACTCTTTCATCTTTTCTTCCTTTTTATTGTGTCCTCATAACATTAATCATTCCCTACATAAACCATAATAAAAGTATTGGTTTTATTAACTGGCACTAAACCAATTGATATTACAAACATTGCCTGACAGGACGCTAAAGGAAAAGAAAGAAAAAGAAAGCAAAAAGAAGCTTTGAAAAGTCGTAGTTTTGGATCTGCACTTACCGCTCATTGGGCTCTTGATTGACCAACCTTGACTTCTCCAAGAGGTATTTCTCTACATACGCCCTACAAGGAAACAACATACAAATTACATTTCAGGCAAACACTCTTTAGGGCACTGCCGGATTAAGATTTAATCCCATATTCAATGACTGAAAACTGTCCGACTGAAAACGTTTCAACATTTCAAAAGAAAATTTAAAAATGAATGCAATGTTTTATTATTGAGAAGCGATACTGAAATTCAACCTTTTTTATAATTGCTGGCCAGAAACTTTCATGTTTTTTCCCCCCTATCTGTGGCGATGAGCTTCAAGCTCATCAAACTGAATCTCAATTAGATCAGCAATCTGACTTTGCCACCTCCAGACATATATTGATCAAATAAAAATGATACTTTAAATATAAATCGTTCTCCCTCTCAGCCCCCACCCCACCCTTATGTATGTGATGTATTGTGATTAATGGTTTGTACTGGAACTGAAATCTCGATTTTAATGTAAATTGTAAGTGACAATAAAATTGATTGATTGATTAATTGATTGAGATCATTTTGTGGCTTAACTTTAACAAACTATGGAAACAACAAGTGTTCAGAAGGTGTGGTCGCCTCCTTACCCTCTCACCGTGCCGCTCTCCTGGTAGTTCACCTGAATGAACTTCCCAAAACGACTGGAGTTGTTGTTATGTGCCGTCTTTGCGTTCCCAAATGCCTGCAGAGGGAGAAACAGGAGGATGTAAGTGAGTCAACTTGAGGCACAGATAGTCTGAGTGAGTCAAGCAAACAGAAAGTTTATCATGAAAAAGGTTGCTGTTAATAAAGCTGGTGCAGCTCAGACTTCTGCTCCTGCACAGCTAGAAACGTAATTCCAGCACATTAATAACAGGTTTTGTCGGATGTCTTAAAGTCGGGGTCGGACAAATTGCCAGAGGAACGGTAAAAGAGGGCCAACAGGGCTGATAGGGGGAAAGAAATGTCGTCAGTGAGTAATGGGATCCATGTGGCCGGGTGGAATATGTGCAGCGGTGGTGCTGCAATAACGCCCAGACAGTGTTTCCTCTCACAGCTCTATTTATGTTGTATGGCTGCCTGGAGAACTATGTTTTTTATACCATATTTAAACCCTGCAGTTATTTGTAGTCCCACCACAAGTAAACAAATTCCTCTGTGAAGCACTGAGAGCTGTCTAAAGCCTTGCGTCTGTGAAAAGGGAAAACACCCTTCCCTGACCTCACCCTTCACCGATGCTGCTTACAAACATGCAAGCATGTTGACTGAAACTTCAAAGACAACTTTAAAAAATCCAAGTTAGCATTGCTGGAGCTCAAACTGCAATAAAAGCTACGATCTGATCCAGACACCACCAAGTGGCGCTAGTATTTGTCTGGACAACAACCAGCCTAGATTTTAAGCTCCCATTGATTGGTTATTTGTTGGGATGATAACGATAAAATATATTGCTCAAAATTATAAAGATTATGTAGACACAACTCGTCAGCGACCAAAGACAAATGATGGATGAGCTACAAGGCCTTTAGGAAGAAGAAACAACAGTTTAATGGATCATATATAATCCTCACTGTTGTGTACAGAGGTGGAAGCATTATGCTCTGGGCCAGCTTTGCTCTTCTACACTGTGGAGAGTCACGGGACGATGCACTGTAGCACAAGATCCCGTCTCTTGTCGTACATAACACAGAAAATGGCTTCTGGATTGGGCTTGTTTAAATCCTGGCGCTGACATTCAGAGCTCTCTGAGGTCAACCTCCGTCTTATACTGGTGACCTGTAATGTCCCTACACATGCTCTTGGAGGCTGAGATCACTGGATGAGATTCTGCTGATCGGTCCCTCGTAGCCGTTAAAGACACGAGGAGACTGCTCCTTTCGGGCCGTTGCGCTGAGGCTCTGGAACGACCTCCCACTGTCTCTATAGCAACTGGACTCCACTGATGTTTTAAAGACCAGACCTACAATAGCAGCCATTTAAAATGAGCAAAATCTCCTCCAACTTCCAGTCGCTTGAGTGACCCCTTCTTGCATATTTTTTTACTCCAACTCCACCCTTTTACTGAATTACAGGGTCTGAAAAAGAGATGATACTTCTCTTTATATCTAAATGTTCACTAATCATGACAGAAATAATATTTTAGTACAAAGATTGATGTTTAAAATGGAATTGTTGGGGACCAGCCAAGGAGCCATAAGGGAAAGTGAGGACATTTTGACTCATTTTCACTCATTTTATGATCAGTAGTGAGAGGATTTCTTATGGCCACCATAGTTGATTTATTGAAATGTTCTTATCTATTGGATTGGTTTAGCTCAAGTAGTACTGCATTTTTACCAAAGTCAAATTCTATTATATTTTAGTATTTCCTTTGCAAGGCACGGTCATAGATGGGCCTAGTCAACACTACTATGCCAAAATCCTACAGGAAGTCTGCAAAAGAAGCTAAAGTTTTCAGTGGGAGAGAGGAGGCCATGAAACAAAGGGTATAGAGGACCATCCAGCAGAGTGCTCCACCGCTTATAAATTGATGGAGGTGAAGACAATTTTCACAAAGTTTCGTATTAAGAAGTGGTTTGCTCTTTGATCCCCGAAAGCTGCCAGATCTGCACCATTTTAATTGTCAAATTCGGTCAGATAATCCTCCATCTCATAGTTTTAAGGATTGAAGCACATGAAGAAGGTTTAACTTCAAAGATCTAATGATTAATCCCCAACCTTGAGACTAATGCTACATTCAGACCGCACACACTAGAGGCAGCAGAAGCAGCTAGTTTACATGCAAAGTCTATGGTTGACGTGCATCAAGGCGCAAAAAAAAGGTTCTGCAGCGCGTCTGATCAGCTGAAGTGGCGCCTCACGAGCACCTGACGCACAAAACGCGCTGCAAAAGCAGCAGCTGCTGGAGTTGAAAAAAATTGAACTTTTGCTGCTTGACGTATCACATCAACCGATCAGAGAAGCTGATCTGGGAGCTGGTAGGGAGACAACACTAAAGCAGATCACTATAATCACTCCTCTGAAACAGTTCATTAGGCTGCTGTTTAACGGGATTCCCAGTGACAGAGCACCGCCGGCGTACAGGGGTCTGAGCGGCTTCGACAGAGTATTAGTATTTGAAGGCAGGATAGTAATCTTGATGAACTTAATGCACAGATGAAGTTTTCAGGTGGACTTTCTCACAGTTTTACCCACTGATCACAGCAAATATAGCAAAGCCGTTCTCTGCCATTGACCGCAGGAGCAGCAGAAGCATCAGATGTATCTGGACACACTTTACTGGACGTCTGACCTTAATGTGGACAAGCATCAAAATTGAAGCAGCAGAAGCTTTTTTGCTGCTTCCAGCGCTTGAGGTCTGAACGTAGCATTATTCATTAATATAAGCAAAGCGACTCTCTCGATTTCATCCCCTATTGTTAGAGGCAAAGAAAAGATATGGTAGCTCCACCCAACGCGCATCAGACCCACTTTTAGACCATGCAGCTATAGCAGCAGAGATGCTTCAGCCGTGCATCAGAACTAAACTTGTACAAGCAACAATAATGAAGCAGCAGACGTGTTTTTGCTGTTTCTGCTGGGTGCAGTCTGAATGTAGCATAAGACATAGGGTCCAGCAAGCCAGTAGCCAAACAAACAGAGGAGGCACTTAGGTGAGATAAAAGTTTTTAAAGTGTGTATTGGTCACCCTGCTTCCAACATCAAGGCAAATCAATACCAACAGATGCTTTAAGCAATGGAAAAAAGAACAGTGATCACATCTCTAAACATCCTAGAATGTGACATCTGATGGAGGAAGAGGAAGGAGGATCTGCTGATGTGTTCATGGTCCCATCTCCCTCTGAACCAGGTGAACCTGCCTGCTTCAGGAACTGCAGGTCAGACGAGGGCAGATCAACAACAGTCTCTTAGCTGATGGGAAAAAATATTCCAATGTCCTCAGCCAATGAACACGCAGCAGAAATTGGAGCGTTTCTGCGCTTCTTGTTAACATTTAGCAGGAAGCAGGATGTGAAACAAAACACAGAAATTTGATTTATGTTGGAGCTCTGGTTGGCTCTTCCACCTGCTTTGAGTAAGAAAGATGCACATTTTAAAAAGACAGAAGCCTAGATAACTAAAGAACAGTAACACGCACAAATAAAATGCGCGCTGATATCTATATTTATTGCTGTGAACATAATTTCATTATAAAAACAGAGCAGATAATAAATATTAAATCGCTTCCCATTTAAAAGCTGAAATTGTTGGAGACGACTGTATGGCTCGCTGGGAATCTGAACATAAATTTCAGATTTTTCCACAACAATGCATCAGAGCTCATCCTCCTTCCCATCATCAAACATTATTAAGAAACATCTCCAACACTGAAGTCAAGGAATAAAAAGCTTTTGAGTAAAAGTTTATAATATTAATAGAGATATTCAAGATTCAGATCTTCTCTCCTCTTTATCCCAGAGTCAGTGGGACAGCAGGACGGACTGTGTTTATGCAGACATGATTCTCACCACTTCAGTTACTCTAACGGGTCAACAACATTATTCTTGGCCTCAGACCACAGAGTGAGCCAAAGGCAGAGCAGTGACAGACTTGAGGCGGTGCCCGTGTGTTCTGGGTGTAATGTGTCTGAGTGCGGGCTGCAGGCAGACGGACATGCTGCCACTACGATGATGTTATGTCCTCACAAAATGTTTTAATTAGACGTCTGCCTGTTCATTTAAAATCTTTATTTTTTTTTATGAGTGTGAGAATTTTAATTTTTTTTCTTCCTTTTTTACTTTGATCCAAAGACAACAGTGTGGCCCGTTTTTAATCCAGCTTCTCATTCCTAATTTCAAATCTATTGCTTTCTTAATCAGAGGCTTTCTGTGCTTTCCTAAGCTTTCATTTCCTACGGTCATAAAATATTTATTAGACAGAATAAGTGAGCCACACGTCTGATCCATTGCTGTCAATTGTTCATCTTTCCACCTCTTTTGGATTATCCTTTAAAGCAGCTATAATGAGTGAAGCATCAGCTTCAACGTTTGCGCTGCCTCAGAGGACAGCCATGTAGAAATATCACCATGCTTGTCTCATACAATAACCTAGGGCTGCAACTAACGATCACTTTGCAAATGTATTAATCCATCGATTAGTTTTTTTAATTAATAGATTAACAATCGGAAAGCCAAAGATCCCTTAAAAAATTTGTTTTTATGAAATTAAACCAGGTGAAACTAAAACTATTACTATTGTGGAATTCTGGTTAGAGCACATTGACAGACACATTTTTTATGTTAATCTTAAATGCATATATATATATATATATATATATATATATATATATATATATATATATATATATATATATATATATATATATATATATATATATATATATCTTTTTACAATTTTTTTTTACAATTCTGGTATAATTACTGCTCTAAGTGGGTTGCTCTGTCAGATAAAGGCATATTTTAGAGTCTCTATATTCCCATTAACAATTAATCGATTACTAAATTAGTTGAAATAATAATTAATAAATAATTATTGAAATAATCCATTAATCACGGTCAATCACGATTAGGTTAATTGTTTCAGCCCTTCATGAAACAATTAACCTATCTTATCTTCTGATAAGAAACAATTCAATTCTTCATTCCTTCATTATTCTATTTATTGTTTAATCATTAATATTCCAGACTTTCTAAAGATTTCTAT